ATGGTAGACTTTTTAGGACACATATGTATGATAGAGTTAATTAATTACTTATCGGAGACCTCTTCGAATGGTAGAGTTATTATTAACTTATGGTAGACTTTTTGGTAGACTAGTATCGATCTTATATGTATTGTTGTCTTAGCTAAAATATTGTTTACTCGTTTTTTATATGTAGGTTCGGGTGAGACATTTACTTGTAAGACCGCTGGAGGAGATTTATCCTGTTTGGCCAGATGAAACCACTGATCCGGATGTTGATAAGAAGCTTCACAACATGATCCGAGATATCCTTGATGGAACTCTTAATGAGTCGTTTTGGGGGGAGGATGAATATGTTCCTGAACCTAAAACACCATCAGAGCAAATAGGGAAAAAGCGGAAGGGCAAGGCTGTTGTATCTCATCCGGAGAAGAAGAAGAAGAAAAATGACCGACAAAGCAAAGAGAGTGAGGATGATAGCGATGTGGGCAAGAAATTGAGGAAGAAGAAAGAAAACAGTAGGAGCAAAGGAAGTGAAGAAGTTAGCAAGGTGGAGAAGAGGAAAAAGAAGAAGAACAAGAAGGCGAAGGATGTGTCCGATGAAAGTGAAGAGGGAAGTGAAGTCGAGAGGAAAAAGAGCAAGAAAAAGAAGAAGCCGGTAAAAGAGGTTGAGGCGGAAAACGAAGGAGAAGAAGAAGAAGCAGCATATGAAGAGGAATCTACTGATTTCAACACACCTATTGCAGAAGTGAGGAGGAAAGAGAAAGACATAAGAAAGAAGAAGAAAGATGAGAACAAAGAGTTGGTAAACGCGGAGGACATTAATCGCGAGCTTAAGGATATTATTCTATCGTTGGCAGCTAAAGTGGGAGATATGGACACAAATTTTGTTAACCGATTGTCTGGTTTGGAAAGGAGGATGACTACTCTGGAGGCGGCTCAAGATGTGACGCGGGCGAAGGAAGTTTTAGACGATGAGGAAACAGCTTCCGTTCAACAATCTGAAGTCGGAAACGCAAAGGCAAAACCTGCTGGGAAAGGAAAACCTCCTCCTAAAACGACCCAAGCATCCGGTGATAAAGATCCGGTAATCCGCAAGTCCCTGTTCTAATCAAAGTAACTTTTATGAAGTTACTTCGGATTAGAGAAGTTGCTACTATTGCGAGAAATGGCCTTTGGCTTCTTGAAAACATCAAACATTATGTTTGCAAAGAGATGGTTTTTGCAAGTATCACACTATGGTTATTTGTGGTAAAACAAATGTTTGTTTTGGTAGACAATTAATAAAACAATATGGTAGATTTGTTTTATTCGTGTATGGACGAATGCATAAGGTAAGATAGACTTGTTCTGGTTTGATAGAGTTGTGTAGTGGTTTAATTTCTTCCGCGTGGTAGACTTGTTGTGGATTGATTTGGGGTACATGTTGTGGTATGGTAGAGTTGTGTTGTGGTATATTTACTTCCTCGTGGTAGACTTGTTATAGTTTAGTGCACATTTTCGAAGGAATGGTAGAGTTGTGTTGTGGTTTATTTACTTCCTCGTGGTAGACTTGTTATGGTTTGCTGCACATGTTCTGGTATGGTAGAGTTGTTTTGTGGTATAATTAATTCCTAATGGTAGACTTGTTCATAAATAGTATGTCTAGTAGACTTAGTTATGTCGAGACGTTTGGTAGACTTTTAAACTTGTGCTTTATATGGTAAACTTGTGCTTTATTTCTGACTTAGTTGTTTTTACAGTCTTGGATGGTTGAGCAACACGAGACATCGAACCCAGAATATCCAGTTGCCAGGGTGGTTAAAACTCCTACCCCGACGTCCAACAAGAGCACAACGAAAGGCAACAACAAAGATTGCGTCCAAATACCTCCTCCACCTCCAAAGCAACTACGAAAGCTTACGATTACTCCTCTGCAAACTAGAAAGCCGGCGATTCCTACTCCACGAGATTCAGGAAAGGCCTCACCTTCACTATCACCTTTCTCAGACCCGCAAGAAAATGCTATGAATAAAGCACTTGGGAAAGGTTTAGATGCGATGGTGGCCTTGGTAGGCAAAGGAGATGGGTATGAACATGGCCTCAGAAAAGAACGCAATCTTGCTCCTAGTCAACGGTCTCCATTTGTTGGAAGTTCAGCTGTTAAACGCATAGTGTATGGTGTATATGTTGGTGAAGGTCAGTACGATCCGTTCGAAGAAGTTGAACAACGAAAACATTTGGCCTTGTTAGAGTTTATAAGTCCAGAACTGTAAGTCTCCTTTCGTTTGATAAGAATTTAGTCTCCATCTCGTAGACTTCCTCGACAAAGCTTATTATTGTTGCAGGGATAACACTTTTGGTAGCCCTGACCCGATTGTCGACTTCTACCTTACTCTGATGACTGCTAAAGCTGACTGGCCTCTTCCGGAATATGGCTGGTTAGGCGATAGGGTAAGTGATTCGTGCTCACTCTGTTAGATTTATGTGTGATAGATTTATTGTAATGAATGGTAGAGTTATTTACAAAGTCGAAACCTGTTCTGGAAACATTTACTATATGTGATAGATTTATTGTAATGAATGGTAGAGTTATTTACAAAGTCGAAACCTGTTCTCGAAACATTTACTATATGTGATAGATTTATTGTAATGAATGGTAGATTTATATGTTATTGATTTATATTGTTTATGTGGTAGATATATTTAGTCTATTGGGATAGATTTATATTAATATATGGTTTATTCCCTTTGTTTGTTTTATCAGCATATGACCGCGGGGATGCATATGTTCAGGCAACGATATTTGAGAGAACCGTGTCCCTTTCAAAGAGATGGTAGGTTGGCGTTTTTAGACCCTCTCTTCACTGGGCAGTGGTTAGTTGAATTCAACCGAGACTTCCTACCCAACCCGGATAAATGGGCGTTCCGGACTGGTTACATAAACGTCGCCTATGGTGTATCTCCAGATTTTGCAGTGACACACAAAAGATGGTTCAAGGATGTGGATCTGTTGTACATTTGTCACAATATCGAAAGCAGGCATTGGATTGCGGTTGAGGTAGACATCCCGAAGAAAAGAGTTCACATCTACGACTGCATCTCAACCACATATTCTGAAAGAAGACTTAAACAGGAGGTGAGGGCATACACGAGGATGATACCACTTCTGCTTTGTCAATTATTTCCCGACGAATGGACACACCAACAAACCTTCCACAGCTTCGTTATGAAGGAGGTTCCTCAGAACATTCAAACCGGCGACTGTGGGGTGTATACTTTGAAGATTATCGAATGTTTGGCTCTTGGATGTAAAATGGCAGACCTTAATGATGACACGGTTGCTGGGCTACGTATGAAATATGCCGCTGAGATGATGGACGAGTTACCGGCGGAATGGTTTAAGGAGACACTTCAGATGTGTTGATTTAACTTTTTGAAACTATGTTCTTGGTTCTTTTGAAACTATGTTCTGGCATGGTAGACTTGTAATAGACTTTTGTCTGATTTCTTACAATTTTAATCGAAGGAATGGTAGAGTTTATATTTATTGTTATAAACAAAAGTCTACTTAAACAAAATACAAATACATAGAACACATAGAACATAAACTCCCTAAAGTTCAACAGTTCATGACGGGCATGTCGCACGATTATGGCCGCCTTGCCCACATTTGGAACACTTGTGCTCCTTCCTTGGACGTTTCTTCTGCATTGCTATTTCTAAGGCACTTTTCATTCGTGACTTTTTCGGCCTACCTGGTGGTTTACGAACAAACGGAGGCTTACATACTTTGCTAGCCACTTCATCGGGTACAGGTAAAGCAATATCTCGTGGCATTACAGTTCCCGCATATGCAGACCGAAGGTATGACGTACGGTAGTATGGATGAGCTAGACTGATACGGGATATTTTTCTAGCCTCAGCTGTTGCAACGGCATGGACACACGGTATCTTATCGATGTCAAACCGCCGGCAAGTACATGATCTTCTTCCCAAATTGACAACATGTAAGGATGCTCCACTGGTAACCTGTGTAAGATGGTCGTCTATGTCTTGCACGGCTAGTTGCTTTGCTCCTTCAACTCTTTCCTATAGAATATTCATAAATAAGTCAATCATATAGAAAACCTAAACCATATAGAATATGTCTACCATATAGATGAAAATGTCTACCATAGTTAACAATATATCTATCATATGCATACCCGTAGCAATTTCTCAACACCAGTAGTAAGCTCGGTCTCCATATCATTTGCAGCTCGGCGCCTTTTGGCAAACCACCTCGTCAAAAGCGATCTTATCTCCTCCAATAGTGTCACAATTGGGTAACTTCTAACCTTGGATAGGACCTTATTTAAAGACTCTGCTATGTTGCTAGTGGTAAAGTTGTACCTCTGCCCCGGAAAATGAACACGGCTCCACATGCAGACATCTGCTTTTTGTAAGTAGTTATACGATCCTCGGTTACACTGCTGAATCTGTGCCATGAAGACATTGAAATCTGAAAGCTTATATGTGCTTGCTGCTTTCTTCACAAGTCGGAAAGCTTCCCCACCTTTATATTTGGTCAAAATATTCTTATGCAAATGATAGGTACAAATACCTCGAGCAGAAAGTGGATAAACCTTTTTTATAGCATTCCTAATAGATCTATGTCTATCTGATATCATGGCAAGTCCTTCATCATCAGGTATAACTCGATGTAGCTGTGTGAATAACCACTCCCACGACTCATCATTCTCCGTATCCACGATAGCGAAAGCGATTGGGAAAATATTGAAATTTCCATCTTGAGTTGTGGCAATGAGCAGTGTTCCTTTAGATTTACCCGTTAAGAAAGTTCCATCAACCACAACTACTTTCCGCATAAATGGAAAACCTTGAATGCTCGCACCAAAGGCAATGAACATAAACTTGAACTTGTCTTCCATATCGACATCAAGCTTTATTAATGTTCCAGGATTAGCTCGTCTTATCATGTATAAGTACGAAGGAAGCTCCTCGTAACTGTCATCTGAAATCCCAGTCACTAGTTCTCGTGCATACTTCAATACACGATAAGCTTTCCAATATTCGACCTATAATATGATACACGATAAGTCTACCAAACTATTGAAAAAAATCTATTAAAAAAGTAAAGAATAAATCTATCTAAAAACCATCGAAACTGAACATATCTATTAAACTACATTGAAACTCTATCAGAAAAAGTTATAAGTCTACCATTCTATCTCTTACCTTGATTCCATAACGTTTGGTTAGAGCATCAGATACGTGATTTGGGGTTATGGTGTTCCCTACACCCCCTACGAAATCCTTGTAAAGACGTGCTAATATCTCCGGTGTTGCTTGTCGGGCACGTGAAGACCGCATTGTGATCGAACATGTGTGAACACCATAGTAAGTTTTCACATAGAACTCTGGCTTATCTCCAACCGAGGAAGCTCGAACCCTCCATTTACATCCTCCCACCCAACACTTAACCGTCAATAACGTCGGTGTTGAGTATCCGACGTCGTAGTCCATTTTGTTTGCAACTGCATAAATCTTCAATCTCGTTTCGAACTCCTCTTTGGTCTCGTAACATTGCCCAACAGCTAATTCCATAGACTTCATCTCCATCTCCACAAAATCATCCATTCTTGCTGAACCGCATTTCTTTGGTGGCAGATTTTGCATGTCTTCTTCATCTTCAGAATACTTCCCACACAAACCATAATCTTCGTCACTAGAGCTTGCACCATCCGGATCATCGCAATTGTCGAACCTTTCTTCTTGATCATCTTCATCATCTTTGTCAACTTGATCGTCTTCGTTGTCTTCTTCGGTGAACTCGTTAGATCTATTTTCATTTAGCTCATCAGCATCTTCTTTCTCCTTATATTCTCTTGACGCCTTCGAAGTAATCTCGGCGCATAGACGGATCGTCTCGTTTTCAAAGTGACGCAAAAACACGGCAAATTGTCGAGGATTACCTACAAACACCGGTGGTGTATCTTTCGGTAGCTTGTCATTCGATCTCTTCGAGAGCATATAGCTGAATTGAATATCATAACGACGCTGATCTAAACCCAGATCTTCGTAGACGACTTGTCGAAAATCTCCATACTCGATTTCCCGATCAACAGCTACAACTCGACATCCTTTACTCTTATCAACCAAGAACAAATATCGAGTTTTTGCGAATTCCCACTTCCCACACACTAAAAAAATCTCGACCATGCATGAAGAAGACATGATAGAGGATGAGGTACAAAGAAAAAAACAGCAAAAGAGGCAAAGAGAGGCAAATCACTGACGAAAATGATGGCGGCGTGTACCCTAGTATAATTGGATGCGGTGGTTGGAACAACAAATTCGATAATAACTGCTGGACAAAGTCGTCATTTCACAGCATTAAGTCTACCCTTCATTATCGATATATCTCTATCAAAATTTCAATAAGTCTACCAACATCGATGTTTCCAAAAAAAGAATATGTCTATTATACTAGCAAATATATCTATTTTTTGGACAATATGTCTATCGATATCAAATATATCTATTACATAGTCAAATATATCTATCACACATCTAAAGTCTTTTACTGATTATAAGTCTACCTAACTCAAAATAAGTCTACTTCTCCATAATAAGTCTACTATTTTTTATTAAGTCTACCATGAATAAAACAACTCTATCATAATATAAAAAATAACAATGTAATAGATTTAATATCTTCTCCTATAAGTCTATCTTCATGACAAACAAGTCTATCATTAGATGTAACAAGACTACCAATTCAGGTCAATAAAACTTCTGAAAGTCAACTTAGAATCACTAAATCTACCAACCCGAATATAAATCTACTTTGAAGACATATATGTCTACCAAAAATCAAATATGTCTATCAACAAAATTAACTCTACCAAACGATAAAAATAACTCTATCAACATATGTCTACCGACATCTAACAAATCTACCAACATCGCAACAAATCTATTATCCAAAAATTATGTCTACCAATTTTTGGATAAATCTATCAAAAATTTTAAATCTATTATAAAGGATGGTAGACTTAATTTTCAGCGCATGTTTTTTTGTGCTGACGTGGAAATAAAATAGTAATGGCATTTCGGTAAATACGTTTTTTGTCATCAAAGCTTCCAAAGGGTAAGATGGGGTTTTTCGAAAAAGGAAAATTGTTCTGGTTATTTCGAAAGTGTTAGATTATTTTAATAATTTCATCTAACATTTAGGTTACAAGAGCAATCCTCCCTTTTGTTTGTGATATATTAGTCCCTATCTAAACCCAATTCATATAACAAAATCAGAACAAGCGACCCAAAATTGCAAACAATACCTGTTTTTCTTCCACCATCTCCCCTATCCCAGATAATCGCAGAGCACTCTCCCATCGAAGCAAGAAAGCGATTCGTGTAAGAAGTAGCTGGGTAATCTCAAAATCAGGAGTCGGATCGAAGGAGAAAAAAACTAGTTGGGAAAAATTGTTTCAGTGAAGAAGAGAGAGATGATAAAATCCATGTAAAAATAAAAAGAAAAAAAAATATAAAAATAGCTGACCAATGAAAAACGACCACACCGTCGATGGTGCTTAAGATTGCTTAAAATGCTAATAGAAGCACCAATGCTAAGCTAATTCTCCAATTAAACATTTATTTTTAATCCATTTTTTGTTAAGCACCCTCTAAGCATCGACCGTTGGAGGTGCCCTAAGCCAACGGTCGATTGCATGCAGTCGCCTTCGATTTGACTTCCACTCTCTTTGAACTATTTTATGTAAATCAAATCATTGACAGTTAATCGTATGTCAAACCGCCCTTTCTAACATATTATTATATTATCATTATAATAATAAAAAATTTACTAAGAAACGCCTCTTCGAATGTGGATGTTATTCTTGTGCTATACTATCATATCAACAATATATGTTCCTGCTGATTATTAATACTTTGATTGACTTTTTATCATAAAAAAATCTTTCAATCCGTTTCAAAGAAAAAGCGTCAGTTTAATTTTTTTTTTTTAAAACGTTTTAACATATTTCACATAAATGAATTATACAAATATGCTCTCATTTAATATTAGCATTGTGTACATAAAAATGATTTATATTGAAGAAAAAAAGTGAGCTTTGGCTTCGGTTTTAAAGAAATTTAAAAGAGAACATGCATGATCTCTGATATCGTTTGTGAAAAAAGTGGAGTAGACTACAGTTTTTTGTTGAAAACTTGTTACATTATAAAGGTAAAGTTTTAAATGTGGAACTGCTAGTTGTTATTTTATACATAAAATAATACTAGACCATTACGCCAATTATAAGTTAGTAGATGAGTAAATACCAAACATTTGACAAGTGATTAGCTTGTAAAATTCCCAATTGAATCAAGTTGCAAAATACAAATGTAAGAACAACCATATTTTGGAAACACTCAAAACACTAATGAGGAAATTTATGAGGAGAGAAGATATCATCTTGAGGTTTGAGAGATGAGGATTTGGGTAGGCTAAGAAAATCCCATAAGACATGGAAAACTCTCGTGCTTCGATACCTCCATAGTCCCAAGTCCTTTTCACATTTCAAAATTAAAACATTAAAATGATCATATATAATACTCCATACATAGGTCATATTCTAATTTACATATAAAAATAATTGATGTCATCAGGGAAATTGTTATAAAAAGATCAAAAAAGTCAAGCTCGTTGACCTTTTAGTGGCCTATATAAAGATATCATATAGACTCTACACTCAGCACTCAACAGAGAGAAACACATTGAGATTAGAGAGAGAGAGAAGTAAGAGAGGAATGAGGAGTGACGTGGCACGTCTAAGGTGTGGGAAGACGATTCCATTGCTTGGAATGGGAACTTATTGTCCTCAAAAAGATCGAGAGAGCACCATCTCAGCCGTCCATCAAGCCATCAAGGTTTGTTTTCTCTGTTTTTACTTTTACTTTAAGAAATTTTTATCAAATGATCTTATAAATATAGGTGTTTTTCTCCTTGTATATGACTCCTATACCATCCCCATGGCCATAATTAAAGTCATAAAGTGTACGCAGAGTAGAGTCGTCAGTTGATCACCTAATATGATACTAACATTTGTGTTTAGAAGTCACTTAAATATATTTTTATCTATTCAAATCATAGCTTGGTACGGTATACAAATTCTTGACTAAAATGAAAAAAAAAATCTATCTAATTAGAAATAAGAAATTAAATAGACATAATGTTAACTTTTCTATATATAAACAATAAGGAAAACTCAAATATCTCATAAGCTTACCTCTTGCAATGGAGGCAGATAGGGTATAGACATTTTGACACAGCAAAAATATATGGATCAGAAGAAGCTCTAGGAACTGCATTGGGACAAGCTATCGCTTGTGGAACTGTCCAGAGAGAAGATATCTTTGTCACTTCAAAGTTATGGTCTAGTGATCACCATGACCCTATCTCTGCCCTTACACAAACTCTCAAGTAAGCTTCACTCTACAAACACAAACACTCACATACAATATTATGAAGCTCGACAGATCAATATCATTGTTTATGACTTTATAGGACAATGGGGCTAGAGTATCTAGATAGTTACTTGGTGCATTGGCCAATAAAGCTAAAGCCAGGAGTGAGTGAGCCTATCCCAAAGGAAGAAGAGTTTGAGAAAGATTTGGGGATTGAAGAAACTTGGCAAGGCATGGAGAGATGCTTTGAGATGGGTCTGTGTAGATCAATTGGTGTTAGCAACTTCTCATCTAAAAAGATTTTCGATCTCCTCGATTTCGCTTCCGTCTCTCCTTCAGTTAACCAGGTTTGGATTCAACATTCCTACCAAGATTTCTCGTTTCTTGTTTTTTGGGTGATTCAAGAAACTAAGATTTTGTGTGCATATATATATATATAGGTGGAGATGCATCCATTGTGGAGACAAAGCAAGCTAAGGAAAGTGTGTGAAGAGAACAGGATCCATGTCAGTGGATATTCACCACTTGGTGGGCCAGGGAATTGTTGGGGATCAACAGCTGTGATTGAACATCCTGTCATCAAATCCATTGCTCTCAAGCATAATGCCACTCCAGCTCAGGTAACTCATAAATTATATATATTACTTTTGGCTCTTTACTTTTTTCTAGGAGCCTTACATATTTGCTTTAAATTTAAACCTTTTTTTAATTTGGCATTTACCTTTATCATTTGTATCTTTTTGTGAACTGTTATGTTTTTGAAAAGTACAACATGCAAATAAAACCACAAATAAAAGCGAAATCCTTAAGTGATTGTAACCAAAGATTTATATATATTGATAAATGAAGGTGGCTCTGAGGTGGGGAATGTCAAAAGGGGCAAGTGTGGTAGTGAAAAGTTTTAATGGAGCAAGAATGAGAGAGAATAAGAGAGTATCAGAGATTAAATTGGATGATCAAGACTTGTCACTCATTGACCAATTGGAGGAACGGAAGATCATGAGAGGAGATTTCCTTGTTAATCAGACCACTAGCCCTTACAAATCCATCCAACAACTTTGGGATGATGAGATTTAATTGACTAGGGTTTCACACTATATTTAATCCAAAATGTAATTTCATCTCGACATTCTGTTTGCCTATGTTCATCCTTTTCTCATTTGGTATATAAAGTCATTACAACATGAAAGAACACCGTCTTGGTTGATTTGATTATAAATAAATATTCTCATGGAACTGCAACGATTTCTGAGTTCGATCCCTGCTCAATAACTAAGAAGTGTAGATATGGTAGATATAAAGCCCTCTTTTAAGAGTTTTAGCCGCTAAAGGTTTGGACAATAGTGTTGTGCCATGGATCAGACAAGTGCAGCAACAAGTTTTCAAATGGTCCTTTTCCAGTCACATTGTGTTGAACCACAAACCCTAAAAACGCCAGCATCGCTAACCTCCCTGGCAAAAATAAAACTTTTCTAATTAGGAGGTTTCTTGCTTAAGAAGTTAAAAGGTTTGTGATGTAATGTTAGTATTAACTAATCTTAGTTACCGTTGGCGAGCTCTTTCTCCTTAGCCTCGAGCGTGGGAGCGAAGTTAAGCGGGTTAAAGACTCCGCCTGGATAACCGACTTCATTCGGAGGCAAGCTATATTGCTTAAAGATTGGATCTTGATTCACACTTCCCGGGTTCTTGATGTCTTGCCACCTTCTGATCTCAACGTAATGGAAACGTATAAATTCGATAACGAACAATGTCGACGATGATGCAAAGTATCGTCATACCATTCCGGAGCGTTTATGATTCCTGTCACATTAATTGGATTGAAGTGAACACTTTATCAATGACAAGTTCTTTGAATTCCAAACATATTTCTACGTCTAACTTATTTTATTACCGATCTTGGTGAATACTTCAGGCAAAAGCATTCCGGCAACACCGAGCATTGCCCACCGGCCATTAACTAGCTCTGCTTGAACGAACCATTTTAAGTTCTCAGGGTCCTCTGCTAGAGCCAGAGGATCGAAACCATTGTCACCAGCAAGACTGTTTCAGAATACAATTTGTAATCAGTTAACCTGGTATTTGGTTCAACTTGGTCTAATTTCCAACCTAACCGGATACATAGCATTATTATTCTTGATTATGGAGTTGGATTGGTCCGGTTATGTAAAAGCAAAATATATAGTCGCACAAAGTAAGTTTGTGTGTGTGTGTATATATATTTTACCTGCCGGTAAGGTAACCCGGTGATGCTAAACCGGGCAACCATTCTCCTTTTTTGGCTTCGATTTTGAAGGACGCCGTATTAGTGGATGAGCCGATCGGTTTAACCGATAAATCCCGGTTCAATCGACCGGAAGAACCGGTAAGGAACCTCATCCTCGATGCACATGGGCGGAAAACCGCGGCAGGGGCTTGCGTTGTGACAGTGGCCATTATCTACTCGACTTGATCCGACCCGACCCGTCTCAACAATCCGGTTCTTGAGAGTGAATACACTAAAGATGAGTAAAAAAAAGACAATATGATGTATAACTGGTAGAGATCGGGATGGGGAATTTGTAGTTATTCGATTTATGCCGATTTTGTATTTATTTATTTAGCTGTGAGATGAGTTTGTGGCTGAGCTTTGGAGAATGGAAATCTACCGTCTACCGTGCGATTAAATGACGTGGTATATTGGACGGTAACGATGGTTTCGATGGATCCGGCTATGCCAACGTGGAATTTCGGGGGCTTATCTGTTGTTAATCGTGGTGGCGTATCAAAGATACTATGGGGCCCGCGCCATGTGTACACAGCTGAAAATATGGTAACTTCACTATGGGCCTGAAGGATATGGGCCTCGGAAAAATCGGCTTCCACTGAAGTAGAGATGATCTTTTTTTAGTCTGTATGTATGTGTATGTATGTTGCAATGAATGTTCCTGATCCTGACTGTTCCAAGTGATTATAATGACGAGTAAACTTTGACTGTTTTAGTTTTTTGAAAATTTCCCTTCCAAATTCGCGTTTGATGAGAGTTATCCATGAAAGCTATGCGAGAGGACGTGTGATCATGAATTTTTGTATATAACTAATTAGTAGTAAGTTGTGCTCTGCAAGATTTTAGTTATATGATTTAGATTTTGATCTTACTCAATTTCTTCAAGCACTTTTTGGAGGCACTGTCACAGAAAGATGCCACTGAAACGACCTGTTTTCATGATAATACTAAATATTATTCATCACTATATATTTACAATATTTTCTATATTTTATTTTATTTTATGCAAACCATAATTAAACTTAATTTGAAATGACAAAGTCAGAATGGATGATTTACTTTACACGGGTTACATTTGAACATAAATCTTGGTAATCATTTCAAAATGGCATCAAATTTTGATTAGAATGAACTGTACTTAGTTTATGGCCAAAAGTCAAAGAAGAAATAACTTAACTTGTCTCTTTTTCTCGTTTTTAATTTACACGGCGGAGTGTCATGGATTGTTTACTTTACACGAGTCATACTCGTACGAGAAGCCATTCGTGTGGAAGTCTACTCATCTAAAGTCCCTTTTTAATTCACTTTCTAAGTGGACTTTTCTTTTTCACCATTTTCCTTCCAAGTTCATGTCACTTTTTCTTTTCAAAAATATGTTATCAAATTTCCTTTTCTATTTATGTTATGGCTTCTGTCAATTTCAGTCGACTTTTTTTTTTTTGCTTTCCCTTCTTACAGAAAGAATAATAAAAAAAAAACAAAGGTTGTAGTCTTGTAGATACAGATTCAATGTATTAATTTTGAATAACAACAAATGGCACGTTTATAAAGCCTTCTGATTCAATATACAAGGCAAGATCAGATCTTCTAAAAATTCTCTATTGTAAAATTTAAAAGAGGAAGTAGAAATGAAGTTGAACTAATTGAGATTTTTTTGTTAAGAGTTTCTTCTTATAAATCATTCTTTAATCATGGTGGAGGATTGACCCTGACTTCCGATGCTTGATGAGTTAAAAGTTAAAAGTGATTGACGGTAATCACTGTGGTTAGATATGTGCATTCTGATTTTATTACAAATATAGTTTGGTCGTTTTGGATCTTCAAATTTTAGTTAACTTTTGTTTCATTTCCCAAAAACAGAGAGACATAAAAGAGGGTTAGCCATATCATTAGGCCCCTAAATGTGTTGCGGTTGTAACGCGTTTGCCATCGGTGATGGTATAATTGTCATGTTAAACCACACTGCTTCTGTCAAATTTATGGCCACTCTGCTTTGCCACAATCTAAAAACAACCAAAAAAATTTGCAAAAGACAGTGAAATTATGAAAAGGGCACAAGCCACAGGCAAAGAAAAAGAAACAACTTGTCAGGCCTTTTGCTTTCAGCGCCAACAAATTCTGTGTCCCACATTATTTAGTATTAAAAGAAAATAGAAAATAGTTTAGGATATCACATTTGTGGCTAATACCAGTTGAACTGTCCAAAATATCTAAGTTGCTATCAGATACCAGACCAAAGTTCAGGAAAATAAAAATAAATTTTGGAAAACAGTGTGACCCATCTCTATTTCCTTGCATAGGTATTCAAAAAGGAGATGAAAATAAGAAAGCAGCTGATAGGAACTGTTTCAACCATTTCAAGCAATACTCAAAAAGAAATTCAAGTAAAATTTAGAAATTCATCGCATTGTAAGCTTGTGGTGTTTTGTCGTGCCCACACACAGCAGTTCACAATTCTTAGTTATCGCATAAACGAGATGATATATTAGACAAAGCGTTACTTGCATTAGATGATCGTAACTTGTTTTTATTAATCATGTGTAAAGTAGTAAGATGTATACGGTCTACCTCATATATTCTCTAAAAAGTCTTTTTATAGTTTTAATGTGAGCTCTATGGCTCTATCAGACTATCGAATAGAATGCAAATAACGGTCAAACCGAACTTTTCTTTCACCGTTATTTAATCTCGTAACGAAAATCAAACTGAAGAATTAGAAAGTAAAAAGTTATAAATGGTACAAAACCTGTTAAAGCCTATGAAAGCCGGGGGAACAAAAAAAACAAGTAAGCCACATCTATACATTCTATATATAGTAAGTACTATATATATATATATATAGGATCACATCCGTTCATGGAAATTAATTGATCTTGATAACGCAGCTGGATTCGCAGAAAGAACTAGAGAAGTCTCTGTTTCTTCATTGTTAATCTTAACCTCTTTCTTCGAATCAAACCCTTTGAACATGACTTCGTTCTTGATCCCAAGTGTTGTCCATATCGAACTCTTTGCAGCTCCATTAGGATCATCAATTCTCAAAGTCTTAGGAACCAGTACAGATCCATTCCTCTGTTTTCGCTTAATCGTCTCATCTTCGTCTCTCGAATGCTTCCCTAAAGTAGAATCAGGACTTGACCAATTAGGCGAAGAAGACAACAATGGCATGTTCCAATAAGGGTAAACCGGGTAAAAACCAGGATTCCACGTGTACGGCCACGAAACTCCCGGAAAGCAATCCAAACCGTTCATTTCGTTGTTACAAGATTCATCATTTTTGCGGTGGTCATTGTTGTCTATTCGAGCCACTAGCTTCGGATGCCCGAACCTATTGTTCGAGACCTTGTGATCATCTCCGAGGCTGAAACTAAGGACCGGGCCGTTTGGTTCAGAGATGGTGGTGACATGGCCGTAATGTGAAGAAGATAAGTTGCTCTTGTTCTTGCGTCGTCCGGCTCCTACCGGGACACTTCTCATGGTCCCACCTGAGGTCCAATATCTTTGACAAGCTTTGCAGAAATGGCGAGGTTGGTTTACGTTGTAATTGTTGTAGTAACAGAATTTTGTTTCCATACTGTTGCATCTTGGACATGGAAGAATCTTGGTCGGTTTCCTTAGGGTTTTGTCTTTCTCCGATTGATCTGTTAATGTCTCGTCTTGTTTCTGAGGCATGAGAGTGGATTCGGATTATCAGGGACGTATGAATAAAAACAAAGGAGAGATTTTTAATGCATATATTACGACTATCATGAGATTCTTAAGAAGAAGGTTCTAGAGAACAAAAAATGTGGTGGAGAAAAAAGTCTTTTGAGTACACGATTCACCTAAATTCTCTCTCTCACCTTTATTGATTTGATAAAACGAAACACGAAAAAAGCAAATGTCAAAAAAAAAAAAGCAATACTTTTAATTTTTACTAAAAATATTATTATTTTATGGAGAATCGAATTTGCTTTTCGTTTCATGAGAAGCCATCAAACAAAGTACTACTAACCTCGAGTTTACCAAAACTCAGCACAGAGATGTCGGAGTTAGGATTTCAGAGTACTGTCTTAAGAGTTCTCTAAAAAGTGCAAATTTTTTACCAATTCATCAACTAATGATTATAAAAGGATACGAAAAAAATAAGAAGAATAAAACCTTGGACTTTGCCTTTAATGGATACATGTACAAGAAACTCACAAACCCACTTTTCAGTTACTACTATCAGATAAAATTATTAAATAGTTTCCAAGTCCAATTAAACACAAAAACTCAAATCTTTTTATTATCATTCTCTGTAACAAAACAGAATCAGTACCTTCTTTGCCGAAATTGCATCTTCTTCATCTGCAGCCTCGAAAACCGTCGAGAGAGGAATTTTCATCCCGAAGAGTTTAATCGCATGATCTTTACTTTCCATCATTATTTTCTTTTCTTTGCTTTATTCCGTTTCTTCTTCTTCTTCTTTTTTTCTCGGTAGACCAATACTATATCCAACTCACTCTGTTTTTTTTTTTAAGGTTTTTTTGTTTCTCTCGATTTTTTTTTCTGATTGGGCAGATTGGAAATATTTTGGTTTGGAAATCGTGAGATTTGGGATTTTGATACGTTTTAAAAAGTGAAGTGGATAACACGTCAGCATTTTCGTCGACTTTCAACCACAAGTTCATGTGGCTTCTGATATTTTACTTTTCTCCCAAACACCTTTAAACTGATGGGTTATTGGATCGGGTTTTGGTGTCTATCTAAGTATCTAGCATATAATCTTTTCTTTATAACACTGCTTGCTTTATTAATTTTTATGAGAAAATAATTGGTATTTTTCCCATATTGAAAAGAAATGCCAAGTTTTTTTCAGTCCACTATTAATCTGCTTATAAACGTTCACCAACCTTTCCTTTGAACAAACAAAGCATAAAACACAATAACTCAAGAGTACCTGAGTTGTTAATTAGCTCTACTTGTTAAACATATGCAGATTCTTATAAGAAAAGGCAAAGATCTTACTCTGTTTTAGTCTCAAACAAATGACTTACAAACATAGGCTTGACTTTTAGAGGGAAGAAATCATATTTTTTAACAAAAACTTGAATGTAACAATTGTGTTTTTTTTTTGGGGTTAAATGTAACAATTGTGTTTGTCTCTGAAATGAGGTTCTTTTTTTGTCTAAACAATGAGGATATTTCTATACTAATTTAGGGCTAACTTAAGTTGGATATTGAAATATTGAATTTTAAAACAATATTAACTGAAATATTAGAAATCGTACAATTTCTGAATTTGGCCAAACAAAGTCTTTTAATTGTTAGCGTAAAACCAAACATAATAAAGGAAGGCACCCCTTGCCCCTTATGTACCACTTCAAGTAGTTCACAAACATTTTTTTTTTTGGCCTCTCAATATCTCACAAATCATAATTATATATTTTGATACAATAAAATAATATATGGGATACATAATAATAGATTTTAAGTCGTTTCTAAAAATTGAAAGTTCAGAACGTTTAACAAATTACCAAACACATTTCGGTCCTATTTACAATATTTACCGTAAGCAAAATCAATTCCGGCATGTTTAGCTTAAATGGACTATAAATTCTATATATCACCAATACATGGTAAAAGAAAATCAAGACATTTTGACACTTCTCTTTCGAATTATTATGACATTATATTATATAGAGTTATCTATCTATATGTTTGAGTTGAAACAAAGTTATAATAAAAACACGAGAGTAGTAATGTTCAGAGACTTATGGGTAGGTAAATGTCAGCATCACACGAGAGTTGTCTTCTTTGTTTTTACATGTTACGTTTTAATTGGTTAGTAGAAGGATAAATGTCCTTAGTTTGAGGTCTACACCATTGATTTTGTAGAATACTATAACTTTGTTTTCTTAGTTGGTTTATTTTATCAAAGATTATATAAGTGAAGCTAACTGAATTTGTGATTATGTAGGAATATTAATATTACGGTCCAAAAAAAAAAGAAAAAAAAAAGTAGAACTTAATGTTGATAAAAACGCAACGGTTACATACATAAAACATTCTGATTTATTTAGTCGATTGATCCAGAATTCTCATATTTACTGAATCATTGACCATATCTTCCAAATTTAATCGAACCATCTTCTTTTGCAAAACCATATGTTAGATTATAGACTATTACGGCTCTATCATAGCCACATCCATTTTTCTTGGAGACTACACATTACCCTCAATAATAACTCAATTTTCGAATCCGATTGGAAAATAAGATAGTTAATTTCCAAATTAAAGAAACTATAACTAAGAAAAGTATATAATTTACAACCATATAGTATGCAGGAATTTGATTATACGTTAAGACATAAGATAAAGGAGAGACTGCAGACGAGGTCAAATAATGTGAGATGTCGCTCTCTCATTGGCTATTGCCGAAAAGGTGTTGATGTCTCTCACAATCTAATTATCAGATCGATCTAAACCAAACTCCGCCTTTTTCCACGTCAGATTCTTTTGTGGGTCCCTCGATTCACCTGCAATTAGGTCTTTTTTTTTTCCCGACAAAGCCATCCCACTTGTCAGACCACAGCTTTTACAAACTATAATTACCGTGTTATTTTTTTTTTTTTTCGTACCGTGTGTAAAAGGTGACTCAAAATTTCAAATATGAAACACATATTCTGTGATGAGAAGCAATTCTAGAAGCCCATAAGAATCTACAAACTGGAAACACAGTGTCAAGTTATCAACGTGCAATGTTTGAATAGAGACTTCAAACAACGTTGTTTACCAAACAGCCTAAACTTTAGACGACGCCGTTTATAATTTTTTGGGGGCAAAAACAACGATTCTTAGGCTAAAAATAAAACACAATTCAACTCCTAAATTGGATAATTCGTAAAAACGACAGCTATGGAGGAGAAGAGGTACGAGAGAAGACTTTAGTTGATATTTTTCACTGATAGGTGATAACTTCATTTTTAATGTTTTTCCCAAATATTTTTTAATTTTATTTTTCAGCACCACACTAGCAATTGAAGGTACTGGATTTGGATTATATCATTCAGCTTTTGGTTTTTGGTTTCAAACGATTATAAACCAAGCAAACTTTAACATAATATGGATCGGTCCAGTTTATGTTTCTTGTCGGATAGGCAAAACGTAATGTGTCATATGATTACGCATTCAGGAAATGATTCACTGTAAAACAACAGTAGCATTCGACAAGATCATAACTTAATAAGTTTTCAGCAACAGAACATAACATGAAAGCTCCAAAATTTCACTCTATTTATAACAAGGCAATCAATTTCTTCTGAATCCGCCGCCTCTACCACCACCACGACCGCCTCTTTTTCCACCACCGCGACCTCTCCCACCATATCCATTGCCGCTAGCTCCAGGTGTCTTCATGTTTTCAGGCAAAGGGAGGATGTGGTCAACGCACTTCCTGAAGCTGAAATCGTCTGCAGAGTCGTCTTCCCTAACCAGAAAGAAGCATCGGCTTTTCCACATCGGGTGGGTCCTTACTTGGAAGGCTTTAATCCCTCCTCCAATCTTCTTGTCGGGCTCCGAGTGCCCCTTCTTAATCAGATCTAGTAGCACCATGTGCTCATACTGAAATGCAAAGTCAAGACCAAAACTAATTAGTATCTCAAACGAAACAGCAACATCTGTCATTGAGCAGCTATAGCTCCAAAGGAACCCCACTAACAAGTTCTCTCGACTTTGCTATCAAAACGTGATAATGTCATATACCTCCATTTAACCTCTCATTAAACACATTGCATAATTCAAAACCCACAATCATTACAAACAACCAATATTTACAGACAAAACAAAGTTTCTAAATACAAACTTACTCTAAAATCAAATCATATAACCTATAAAGAACACAACTTTTTTGCAATGAACTTCTGAGCACTAGTAAAAATAACAGCTGCAAAGGAACCCAATCCCAAGCTGTCCCAGTTTAACTACAGAGCACGAATTTGATCTTATTAACTAGATAAATCCACAATCAGAGCTTAATGTTCCTAAACAAATCGCATAACCCAATATCCACAATCAGAGCTTAATGTTCCCTATAGAACAATTAAAACTCGAGCAAATACAAAAAAAAAAAAGTTTAAACTTTGCAATTAAAAGAAAACAAAAGACAAGAAGAGTAACACATAGATGACATACCGTATTGACATCGAGATCAGTTGGCCAAAAATGCATAAACTTGGTAAAGTAATCGAACATCGCCACAGAGGTAACAAACTCCTTCGGACCCAGCTTAACCGGATCCGACCCGTTAGTCTTCTCTTCCTCTACCACCTTCTGCTTCTTCGATTCGCCTCCGTTCTCTTCCTCCTCCGTCTCCTCTCTCTCACGTTTCTCCGCAGTCTCGTCGCCGGTCTCTGCTTTCGGGTCCACGGCTTCGACTTCCATCTCCACTTTCGGGTCTGGGTTCACTTCAGCCGACAAGGGATCGACGATCTTTTGCTGCTGCGCCATTGTTAAAACTTGCAAAGCTTTCGCCTTTTTTTTCCTCTGTCTCCGCGTTCTCTTTCTACGATTTCTAGGGTTTAAGCTTTAGGTTGAGTGACATTACCGAAAAACGGCTAAGCCGCATCGTTATATATGACTTCGGTTTCCGATTTTAATCGAACCGGTTCGGTTTGTTTATTTATCCTTCGGTTTTTGTTCACCGTATAGAAAGTAATATATTTATCTTTATACCGAATCGTTTGAGGCTTTGAGCCATGGTCAATAGACTTGACTTGAGGGTTAGTGAATTTTGTTTTTGTGTATCTGGCGTATACTTATGTGTACTGTGTATCTAAGAACTATATGATTCCTCAAAATTCTAAAGCTAGACGAAACTGCATATTTGGCCATGTATCTTATGATTTGTTATGAACATTTAGCAAAAAAACATTTAAATATTGTGGTTATATCTAGATAACAAAATAAAATTGTAAGTTGTAACAACTACAATATGTGCTTTCAATTATTTAGTCATCTATCACCGATGTAAAAGTTATAAATGAAAAAGTAATAGACATTTCAACGGCGTTTGATTCCTACGAAACCATATCTAATTATTAAAGATCATGCACAGAATTTATAGTAGAAGATTTCTTGAATAAAAATATCGCTCCAATCAATATAAATAATTTTAAAAATTTACAAGAATAATTTTGGAATCGAAAAACATATTTTAAAGAGAACGTTTTGGAGTGTTCAGCCGGTCGGGCACATCGGAGACTTGGACGTTCTTATTTGTTTTCTTTCTTTGGTTCAATAGCAATTTTGCCAAAGAGGAAAATGTCAAAGTCAACTACATCTCTTGAAATTAAATGTAAGTTCTTAAATTTTCAAAATTACTGAAATAACAAGAAATCAAAAAGATGCATCTGCCATATCAACACCCCAATCTTGAATTCTAAAAATACTTAATTCGTTGGTCCTGTATTTGGTGAAAAACTTTTTGGTAAGTATTATCTAAAATCTAACAATAAACAAGGATTGGTACAAAAAAAAGAAGAAATTTGTGAATTCCGTTACCGTTTGGTATAAAAGTGGGTGAGGGGAAAGATTCTCAAGCCTTCTCAACATGACTTTTAACGGACGTCAACGTGTCAAACCGTCAACTCCCATAGCTCCATAGCCTCCATTTGTGTATTCCGTATACACGCGCTTCGAGATTTTCTTACTTATCTGATTTTTTCAGACCAAACATCAAACAAGAAAACACATTTGTCCGAGTTTCTTTGGAGAGCTGTGCCTTCAAGAAATCGAAAGAGAGCTTCTTTTCCCTTTCTACGATTCCAGAATATATCTATAGGTATGATCATTGATTTTTTGTCTCTTAATCATTTTTAATTTTCTAGGTTTATGGTTATGTTTGTTTCTGCGATTGGGAATTATGATATCTGCGATATTAGGGTTTCATTCCTGAAGTGTGATCTATTCGTATCTCTGTATATTGTCGAGATTGGATTCTAAAACTTGGGGCTTTTCCGATCAGGTTTTTTCTTTTGTTTTTTGTGGAAATTTCTAGACACAGACTTGTTTAATCAGATCCTAATCTTTTTTCATTAAGACAATTTCCCAGAATTCTCCGCTTCAATGAACTGAAATTAATCGTTTGAGCTGAATTCCGAAGAAATGACGATTTGTATTCTTGAAAACAGAACATTGTTCATTTGGGAGCTCTCTTGTTTTTTTTTTTTTTACAGGTCAACAACGTATTTTTGCATTGAGGGTAAACTGTGAGGGATGGCTGATCATCTAAGTTCATGTACCGACCGTCTCGTAACATCTGATCACCTGAATTCAGAGAGAGGATCAATTGAATCTTCTGGAGAAAGTTCCAGAGCTCAGGGCACCACAAGCCTTTCTACTACTAAATCGATGAATCATGAAACCGAGAGAGAAGAAGCAACGGAACAGAACGATGTTGATGATGAAGAGGAACCGCTTATCCAATCAGTTGAATGCCGTATATGCCAAGAGGAGGATTCCGTCAAGAACCTCGAGTCCCCTTGTTCTTGTAGTGGCAGTTTAAAGGTTAAATTTTGATTGATTGAATCTTACTTATATCTCATTGTTCTTTTGTTTTCGTTGGTATAAAGAAAATTGTTTTTTTGCTTTGTCCAGTATGCTCATCGGAAGTGTGTTCAACGTTGGTGTAATGAGAAAGGCGACACAATCTGTGAAATATGCCACAAGGTAATTAAAATCACTCACTTGAGTATTATTCTTTTGGTTGTAAGTTTTACTGTATTCTTATTCATGTGTATATTTTACTCAGTGATTTGTTTGTTATCAGCGACAACTTCTCTTGCTACTTGAATGCTTAAGTATGTAAATTGCTATTAAAACTAGTAAAAATCTTATTTCTTCCCCTTTGATGGAAACAGTCTTATCAATCTGGCTACACAGCTCCACCGCCTCCTCCCGCTGATGATACCGTAATTGATATCGGGTAACGTTTTTTTCTGAATCTATGTCTCTTGTGTCGTTAAGCTAAAAATTTAGAAGTATATCAAATTTCATATAGCAGAACATCGTTTCATTCAAGCCACGTTACTCATGCTGCTTTATCTGTGTGCGTTATGCAGTGAAGATTGGGCCAATGGTGTTCCCTTAGACTTGAACGACCCGCGCATTTTGGCAATGGCGGCTGCAGAACGCCATTTCTTTGATGCAGACTATGACGAATACAATGATTCTAACTCAAGTGGAGCTGCGTTTTGTCGCTCCGCTGCTCTTATCGTAAGATCCTACATTTATCTTTAATGTATTTATATGTTTCTTGAAATGGAGACTTATTGACAGTTAAAAATGGCAGTTAATGGCGCTTTTATTGCTACGACACGCCCTGAACCTTTCAAACAACAACTCAGACGACGAAGAAGATGATCCATCAACTTTCTTCTTTGTAAGCAAATCTTTTATTACTTACAGGCCATTACACAAATCTCCCATTTTGTTTTCTTGTTATAACACAATCTGCCATTTTGTTTTCCTTTGTTTTTTTCGCCAGCTTTTCATGCTTCGTGCCGCCGGTTTTCTCCTCCCATGTTACATCATGGCTTGGGCTATTAGTATATTACAACGCCGGAGACAAAGACAGGTATCTATTTCTTTGAAAAAGACACAGACACATAGATCTAAACTTATATGTTTACACTCATGTTTATAATGTCTTGTATCTGTGAATATCAGGAAGCAGCCGCTCTGGCCGCTGCAGAAGTAGCGTTCATGTTACACAGCGGCGGTGGCGGTGGAGGAGGACAACGCAGAGGAGGATTGCACTTTGCAGTAGCACCTGAGCTGATTTCTAATCCACAACACCATCCTGAAGCTTCACCTCCGCAATGATTTATATTCCGGAATCACTGGTACAAGAGACTAAAACATCATCCACAACTTTGGTCTCTTTCCTCTCTGTCTGTAACTAGCTGTTTGTTGTTTATCGGTCTTGTTCGGAGCAAAACTCGAAACTGAGATTAAAACAATTATACGGGAAGTTTCTCTGTCTATGTTCATACAGACGGGGACAAGAAAGATTGTTTACCGATTTTACTTTTATGCTTTTAGTTTACCATTCTTATTACTTCTTTTTCTGGCTATTACACATATATGATATACTATCTATAGATATATTTAAGAAATTACCAACGATCTCCAATGCATTACACAATTTTTTTTATACATATTTTCTGTCTTTAGTTTTTCATTTTTAGGAAATATAATGAATTATTAATTATTATATGTATACTTTAACAAATATTATGGTAGGGCCATACAGCATGACCCATGACCCATGACCCATGACCCATGACCCATGCCTTATTTTGTCATGATATCGAGAGAGTGGGCCCATTTATAGGCCCAATACGATGGAGCGGCTTTTAAAAGTCTTCTTCAATTACGGGTTCCACTTACCTATATTATCCCATGCAGAGAAGATGAGTCAACGACTCAACCTCTATGCAGCCGAGGATTTTGACATCATATCAAAGAAACAAAAAAAAGTTTTCTTCTTTCACAATCCAAAATGCAATTCTCTTTTAATGTTTTTTACCGTATTTTTCTAAAACACATAAAATTACGACATATGTAAATTCGAGTTTAAAACCCTGCCTATACATGCGAATTGCGATTAAAAGGAGCTAATATTTCATATTTTGGCACCAAAATATCGAGATATATATACACATATATCTACATGTACTCATTCGTAATAGAAAATTTGTATATAATAAATCCATGAAGCGAACGTTTCTAGTAGTTCTATATCTTGATCCCGATTTTCATCAAATTATGTACCGATATAATCATGTAAATCTATTTTAATTCAATCAAAATTAAACATACCAAAAACAAAATCATCATTTTTCAAAAAAGAAAAAATCATCTTTATTAGACACTGCAGCAAAACTAAATCTACGCATATCCTGAAATAAAATCCAGTTTTATCGGGTTTTTTTTCATGTTTGGTTTTCAATCCAAAAGATTTTTGATTTACAAAAAAAGGTAATTATCTGAAAAAGGTCCTGATTATAAAAAAAGAGTAATGAAAAAACAACTGGCTCATTAGCAAAGAACAAGAAAAAAACAACTGTCTCTCTACAGTCTACACATATCCTGAAGAATTGGTCCGGTTTTATTAATCCGAATGCTTTTCATTGAAAATAAACAGCGAAGTCAACGTCCGAGATAAGAAGGACAAAGAAGTCAACGATTAAGTTTTAACTTTAAAGTCTCGAGAGTGTGAAATTAATTATAGTCGAAAGCGAGTTTTCGGTGGCTAAAGCATACTCATAATATATAAGTCGTAACCAGCTTGTTGTTAAATCTCAGTGTTTCACAGGCACAAGTCAAACCCTTCACATGTTAGCATTTAATACTCTTTACTCTTCTTTTATATAACTATTATTTATTTGTATATTTTCAAAGTTCCCTCCACCACTAGATTTTGCCTCCTATATTTATTGTACGCAAATATATGTGTTGTATACGTATAGATATGCCTGCCCGTGCATATGTTCCTCCTGGCTCTTGATTTTTTCTTTTTCTTTTTCTTTCTTTAGCAACTTTATATCTTTATATATTTTTTTTTATTAACAAGAAACACTATGTATTATGCAGGTTTAAAATTGGATAGTAACACCACAATTCTATTCAAATCATTAAGCTACATATCTTGGTTACTTGGATTTGTATTTTTATCACACATTTATTTGAACATTATTTTATCGGATACTGGACTGTGGCTTATTATTTTGTTTTAAGAAATATCCAAAAACAGCAAAAATACCGTTTTTGAAATCTTCGTCTCACAGCCTTTCTTCCTACAACTATTTCGTAAGTCTATTCAAATGTTACTAACTCCAATTTGTGGTATATTTATTCTTAAAAAACATTACAAAGTTATAAACAAAACAGAGAATCATATTTTGAGATATTATCGCAATTAATGAAAATAATGAATGAAATGTATTAATAATGCTAGAGTAACTCATCAGTAGGTGGACTTCTTTAGATATCATTTAATGAGATTTTTTCTTCTGGGATTATGATTGATTTAAAAGGACAAAAAGTTGATAAATACTTATGTTATTTATTCCAGTAATTTTTTTAGTAATAGTATGTATATGAATATCCAGATAGATTGCCAGAACATAGCAGTAAGTTTTATACTCCCTCCATTTCACAAAAAGTGTCATTCTGACATTTTTCACACATATTAAAAAAATTATTAAAAGTACAACTTTATCCTTTATTAATATATTAAATAATTTGTTTTTATCTAGTAAATACATTAAATTAATAGGGTTAAAAGTGGAATATTGTTTAAAATTTTGCATTGAAAATATAAAATGACATTCTTTGTGAAACAAAAATAAAACCTTAAAATGACACTTTTTGTGAAACGGAGGGAGTAAGTTTTTTTTTCATTTTATTTGATTTTTTTATTTTTTTATTTACAAAATATTTAATATGTGTGACTCTTTGTATTAGTTGGATTGGTTTAAATTCAATATTAAACAATAATTTTATTGTAGAAAATCTAATATTTATAGGATTTTAGTTTTCGCGTTTTTAACCAAAAATCTTATATAATAGATTGAATATGATTTTGAACATTCCGCTTCTTGTCCTAACTGGTTCTACAATTTTCATTTTTAAAAGCCATTTTTGGAACTAATCCAAGCAACACAATTTCTAAATTTTAAACTAGGACTAACTGAAAAAGAAAAAGAAAAACAATACAAATTTCGTCGAATACAAACTAAACGAAACCAATAGTATTGGTGTTATAGTTTAGTTTTATTGTGTATATAATGCTGTTAATTAGGTATGCAAAGTAAAATTTTGGTTGAACTTTTATCTTTTCCCATTAGTTAAAGGTAGAGATTAGAAAACGAAATTTATACAATGATGAATTTTGTGGGTGTTGAGTATATCAATATATATACACATATAATATTTAAATAACCAGAAACATAAAAATACATTTGTATAACCATATGAGCCACAAAGTACAATACATTACATTAATAAAGTAGATAAACCCTTTGTGTTACGTTCTACGCTACATACAATTAAAAAGATAGAAAAATATTATACCACCAAAAGGGAAAAAGAGTGTTGTAGAGCTAAAAGCTACTAAAGACTCTAAAACCCTAATGCAATAATAAGCATATATCTTAAAGGTTATAACTCGTTATTATTTGTTATAACTCATAACTAATTAAGCACTCAAATTTTAAAACAATTCCACTTGATTTAGTTCTAGAACATCGCTTCTTGTCCTTCCAATGCCATACCAACCATGTTCTCATCAAATAACCATTTCTCCAACAGAGACAGAGATCCTTGCGATATCAAACCATGATCTTGGTCCATTGATATTACCGGTTTGCTCTCTTGGTCATGGAAGAACCTTGTCTCCTGAGTCAAATTCTGAGTTTCTTCCATGGAATTGAAGCTGAAGAAAGATTGTTCAAACCCTTCTCCACCTTCTTCGCATGCTGCTGCAGAAAGCGGTCCGGTCTCTGAAACCGGCGATGATGATGTTAAAGTTAATGCCTTTGGTGTATCTTTCATGAAATCTTGAAGCAAGCGAGCGATGTTCTCAGCACTTGACGCATATACCCCTGATGGGTATGGATTAGTAGTAGTGTTACTTGTGATGGTGGTTGTGGTTGTTGTTGTGGTAGAGGAGGAAGAAGAGGATAGATCATAACAACGGTCAAGTAAAGCTGATGAGAAGCTAGGTATGTTTTGTGGTACGATTACTGGTGACAATGGTGATGACGATGGAGAGAGTGTTGATGATGATGGCTTGTCTAAAGATAAGGCCTCACAAAGAGCTTGTTTTGCCATGTTGATATCTGTCTGAAGTCTTCTCTCCCACTGACCTTTGTTGGAGCTTTGATGTTGCTTTTGTGAACTAGTGTTTGATGAAGAGAAGCCATCATTATCTTCTTCACCAAATTCATTAATCTTTTTGAGCTTCTTCTTCAAGTGAGTGTTCCAGTAGTTCTTTATATCATTGTCTGTCCTTTCTGGAAGGTATGATGCTATGGCTGCCCATCTATATATACACAAAAGAAAAATTATATTTAGATCTCTCTTATGATATACATATACCCAAGAAAGGTAAATTTTGGACATTTCATGTGCATGTATTTAATTACCTGTTGCCTAAAAGGGCTTGCAGATGAACAATCATCTTCTCTTCATGCTCAGTAAAATTTCCGCGCTTAATACCGGGTCGAAGATAATTAGTCCATCTCAATCTGCAGCTCTTGCTACATCTCTTCAGACCTAAAACATTAAATTAACAAAGATTTTAAGCCAAATAAATCAAGAAAAAGGGATTAAATGGTAGTTAGAGATGTGTGGAGGAAAGAGTCGGTGAAACAACTTAGGCTATTTATTACAATCATCTTTAATGATCATACCAACCAAGGCAGAGAAAAATAGAATAAAAAAAAAACACATTTAAAATTCGAAAAGTAAGCATAAAAGGAATAAAATTTAACAGTTTATTTAAACAAATTAACTAACTAGTACGTAATCAAGAAATTACCAAGACTAACCTGTGTTAGTTGGGACAGATCTCCAGTTTCCAGGACCATGTTCTTGAATGTAAGAAACCAAGATGATGTCTTCCTCTGGTGTCCATGGCCCTTTCTTCACTCCAGTCTTTTCACAACAAGGTGGTCTTCCCATTTTTTATGGTTTCAATATGAAAATATACTGTTAGTGAACAAATTCGACCTGTTTGGAAGGGTTTTAATGAAATTTTAGAACAAAAAATTGAGGTTTTTAAAAAAGCTTTTGGAAATTTGAGAGTTAAGACAAAGAAAGTCCAAATGGGTTTGGTTTTGTCTGAAGAAGTGGAGAGAGATGTTGGTTGTATTTATAGAAAAAGTGAGTAAGATAGATGAGAGAGAGAGAGATAGAGAGAAAAAGAAGAGTTGATTAGTAAGTAATTAATAAATTATTGGAATGAAAAGCAACAATAATGAAGGGGGCTGGCTTAGGCTTTGGCTTTGCTTTCAAAGAGTCAACACGGACAGCAAAATGCATTTACTCTCTTTCTCTCCAAAGTCAGCCTCCTTCTTCCATCTCACTTCGTCGGATGGACTTACACGGTTTTTAAACACAAATATGTGTGTTTGACGTTTGCGTTTACTAGTTAATATATATATATATATATAACTATTGGTGTTTAAAACACGAAACTCAAAAAAGAAAAATACTCCTTCCACTTACGCTTTGCAATTTTTTTGGTCATCTACAACTCCTACGGCAACACACATACAAACTACTAAACTATAGATTTCCTATTTCGCTTTGCGTTTTGCTTAATTGTTGAATATTTGGATAAAAGCAATAAATTATCTATGTTTTCTTACGCTTTGCATTTTTTAGGCTACAACTACACATAAAAATCACTAACTAGATTCTACAGCTTTTCTTTGCGTCTTTGCGTATAAATTTTTAAATTATCTTTGGATAAAATGATAAGGTATTTTCTATAGATAAATATGATTTAAACAAAAAAACAAAAGAATCAGCGGGAATTTGACGAGTATACATAGATATATTATATCTACATATGCTGATATGGATGTTCACGTATGTGTGTGTATGAATAAATCTCAGTTTGGACATTCAAAACCGTGTGGTGCTGATAAATGCAAGATGTATGAGATAAATGAGGTGGCACCGAAAGAAGACAAAATTAAAACCAGAGAAAAATATCTACTACATTTCCATATTGCTTGCGCTTTTTTTTTAGAACAAACAAAAATAACAAGTTCTTTGGTATAGTTAAATGGATTTTCTGATATTACAATGCTGAACCCATTTATGCTGCGGCTGCCCGAAATATGCTTCCGGTTTATCACTATACTACCTAATTAAGTATTTGATTTTCTTGGCGTGAAGTATTTCATTTTGAAGAAAATTTTGTTAAGAAAATGTGATTATATTTTCAATTAATTGGTACCTGATACAGTTTCGCTTTCGATTTTTTCTATGAGTATTGCATTGATAGTAAAAAGGTAACTACTGCCCAAAGTGTTTTAACCTTAAATTACGATTTGATTTTTTTTTTCCGCTAAAGACTAATATACAATCAAAGCCTCAGTTAAATCGACGAGATAATGTAACCAGCATAAAAGAGTGCATGCATATACGGATACACATAGCTATTCTAAAGTTTTTATAAAAAAAAAATATTAATCGATTTCCAAGTTTTAGCAACTTACACCACGCAGCCCTAATTTAATGTCACCTCCATTTTGTGAACACATCCATTGAATTGTCGACCCCTCAAAAGTCCATAACTTATGGGGTAATATTTATTAATAAGTTTTTTTTATAGGTATAATATGTCCACTTCACTGCATGCCCGACTAATTTTGGATTTGAGCACATTCTCAACAAAAGTAAATACGCAATTCAGGTTTGGTTTAACACTAGCAAAGTTAAATTCCGGAAGAACCCTCGAAATCAAATAGTTCTAAGGAAATTATTTACAGACAACTAGAACGGAGTCCTTTCCACTCTCATTTTACCTACCAATTGATTTGGTCTTCACTATTTGACTGTCTATGGTCATAGTCTCATAGACGTATATTATGAACTCTCATAGTAAAGTTTTACGGAATTTAATGCATTTCAACTTTAAAATTATATCAACTTGAGAAGCACAACTTGAGGATCTTATTTTTGTTCTGAAAGTTAAAACTATATTACTGATTTGAGCTACGTCTATGGTCTATATCTACCAATTGTGTTGACAAAAAAAAATACTTGCTAAATATTTAGATAAATTGAAAATTGTACAAGAAACAAGAGGAATGTTGCGACGCACGTCGTGGCTGTGTGCATTGAGCTTCTAAAATTATGATTTCCTCCGACGTGCATTGAGCTTCTAAAAGGAGTAGCAAAGATATATGAATATTTTTTTGTATATACATTCTAATACTATATTATGAAATTACGTTTGTCCACGACTAGTTAATTTTTAAGAAAAAAATATTCGGTGGAAATCCCATAAACACCACGCCCATTGGGATGCATCGCCCATACCTTTTATTTACTCATATTCCGGGTTCACATATTAACTTTACTTTGACTATATGCCACATAGATACCTACTTATATAGTACTTTATCATATTAGTATGTATTGTTTAATTTATAGAACTGTCCGAATTTATAAATGCACATGAAATGGAATTTCTTTTTCATATAATTATAAACTAATGGAAAAAATTAATTTCCCTAGTTAAAACTAATTTACAGACGAGAAGGACATAAGATTACCTTTTGGGTTTTTCATAAATTAATCTATGCAGATTAAGTCAAGAAATAATTTGCTTTCGAAAAAAAAGACTTGGAACGATTATGTATTTTTGAAACTATTATTGTAAACAAAAACAATATCGATATATAAATGATAAAGTTATATTGACAATGACATTATTATATATAACCTCAGTTGGAAAAAAAAAAAAAACCTCAGTTACAGTTAATAAGTCTGGTAATATTTTGCTTCATATATCCGTTCAACAATATAATTTATATTATAAAACTAAGCGAACATTATGCGTTACATCTTGCATTTCGAATTGGTTTTATTTTGTTTTATCTACAATCAAGTTGAAAGTTCGTACAATTTTGCCTATAGTTTCCAGAAGAGTAATATTAGATAGAACAAGTCAACGACTATGGTCGTCTTTAGGATGTGGACAAACTTTGGACATATCTTATTTTATACGCTATGTGACTAATTAATTGGTAGGTTAACTTAGGGTTTATAATATCAAAACAAAAATTAGGGTTTCATATTTTAATCCCAAAATTTAAGGGTTTCATTTGATTATAACGACACGTGCCAGCATTCAAATTAAGAGAAAAATCAGGAAAGTTTCTTAAAAAATGAACATAGAGTATAGGAATTTGGACCCGTTGTCCAATGATGCAACGAGCTAGGATTGATCATTGATATATAATCAGTGGTCTTAATTACGGTGGCTTCTTTTTTTATAAGAAGTCTTACTGTGAATCTGTGATCTTGCCGATGTACTTCTCAGGAAACAAAGGGTTCCAAATTTCGCCACATTAAAGTTTCAAGAGTTTTCTATGAAATAGCATCTCCGTATTAAACAAAAAGAAATTTACCGAGACGTCCATCAATTAAATTGCCAATAACAGATCAAGGAATCTTAGATAAGCATCAGCATGGTAGTGTAGTAATAGTACTGTATGTACAACGCACTTTGGAAAACCAATAAGTATATTTTTAAATTTAACATGCTTAATTCATTTTTAAAAATAATTTTACTCAATGGAAATTAAATCTAAGGGATTGACAACGATTTGATGTTATTATCAATATAATATATATCTATATATAACTAAATTCAGAATGACACATGAAAATATACTTAAAAAAACAAAGGTTCGACGACTATTTGTGAGTTACTCCTTCCACAAAGAGTGTCGTTCTGACACTTTTTTTTTTGTTTCAAAAAATGTCGTTTTAGAATTTCAATGTAATTTTTGACATAAAATACTATTTTTAACTTCAAAAATAAATTCAAAAAATTTATTATAAATATAATTCCAAAAGTTATTTTCTATAAATTAATAAAGATATAAGAAACCTTTTATTTTATTTCTTAATTTGTGTGAAAAATGTCAGACATTTTTTGTAAAACAGAGAGAGCATAAAATTTATTCTAAGCGTGGTCATTAACTACACGACCCCTAATTATTTTGACCGATTCAAAGCGTCAGGCAAATACAAAACTATGGAAGTATTAAACTTTCCAAACCAACTTGCATCGTCTGATTTTAGAACGGCACGGATCTCCTGTTTTAAGATTGCATAAGTCAAAATCATTAATAGCTTGATATTTTTGGCAATTTAGACTAAGTCTGTGAAATTGTATATAGTTTCATACTTTTACTAATTAATATATATGTAAGCAGGAGTGATTTTAAAAATAATAATAATAACAGTGTGATAAACTTATAACCTAAAACACACAGTTTGTCTAATGTATCAAACCCTTGAGACTATTTACCGATAACTTACTATTTATCTCCATAATTGGAAACTTAAAATTTGATGTATCTGAAATGTAAATAGAATGTTTTCATAAAGTACGTATGTTTTGTGTAAATAATATATGTTACTTTTAGTGTTCAAATCGCTAATTAAGTACATAACTTATATGATATCCCAATGATTCCATTCTATGTTGTGTGTATGTATGACAGCGAATCTATATACATGGGTTTCTAATTATTGGGCGTTTAGCTAAGCCACTAAGCCTATGCCACATTAAGCTTATTCATTCAAGAATCAACTCAACTAATTGTAATCTCATAATCTGATCTACTAAATCTTATAATCATCAACCTTAACGTTTTGACTTAACATGTCTAAATTAACTGTAGTGCCATGTTGTCATTTTCCTTAAGGTATTAGAAACCATCACTTTCAAAATTTTCGATGTCGGCTCGTGAAGATTGACCACGTCAATATTGTGAATTTAAATAACTTAAAATTTTATCGTAAAATTATTGGTACGTACGCATTTAAGGACGAATCTATGCAACGATGCAGATTGTGTCTGGGTTAGATTTTGAAACAGATTTCAAAATAAACATAGACGGTAAAATATTAATAACCCATGACCCATCTATAAGAAACCTGAAAGTAGCTCAAAAGGTGAAATTTTTCTAGTTTTTTTTTTTTTGGTGCTTCAAAATGAGAGAATTATCAAGCTGTTTACTTCTGGAAAAAGAAACCTGAAAGTAGCTCAGAAGGTGAGATTTTTCTAGTTTTTTTTTTTTGGTGCTTCAAAATGAGAGAATTATCAAGTTGTTTAATTCTGAAAAAGGACATTTTGCTGTTTAATATCCTACGAATGATCAATTTCCATTTCCGTTAAGTTATATGAGCAATTTGGCACTTCTAATTAACGAGAAAAAAAAACAAACCACCCTCTCATTCACACATTGAATTTTAGCCGATCAAAAATGAGACACTAGTTAAATTTACACTTATTAAGCCCTTGTGGTCCACGTCAAATAGGTTAACTGTTTTTACCCAAAAATGTTTATGCGTAAAATGATCAGGAAACTATTTATTTACAAAACAAAAAACAATAAAAAATTTCTGAAAAAAAACTATCAATACTTACATTCTTGGGACATAGAAATTGGTTTAAGCAATTCAATTATCTGAAACTAACATATTTTAAAATATTTTATCGCTTTTTGTTTTTTTTTTATTAAGCTGAAATATCTTATTGTTAGTGTTAGATGTTAAAACGTCCCACTAACTAGCGAGTAAAGATCTTGGTAATAAAATTTATGCCAGCTAAAGATTAGATCGAATACCGAGGAGTCCGCATTTTGCACACAAATGTATTCGAAGAAAATGAATTTATAGTCGGGTTCTAGATCTGCTTGCTTAATTAGTAGTGGTTAGTACTACACAGATCTTCATTCATTGATTTCAACACAGAGATACGGTTAAAAAAAAGAAATATCTCAACAAGTTTGGATTGAGTGAAACTGTAAGTTTGAATCGGAAGACTCTCGAATTCGAACTCACATGTGACATGAATATAAACTGTTTGGTTTAAAATTTTAAACTATCCGCATGTGGGCAGATCAAGCATATCAGAAATTGCCTTTGCGGTTTTTCATGAACTTTTTTATCAGCATATTCATCACCAAAGCTACTCCGACGCTAGTATTCGAACACGTGATACATAGTAAAAACAAGAAAACAATGATGAAGAGAACATTCACTACACACTGATGCCACAAAAACACATTTAACACAATTTACAGTCCCGATTCAATTGCCACATATAATCTACTGACATGGAAGCATGTACACGTGTACGGATAAGATCAGGCCATCTTGCATTCTCCGGATATGGAAAGCGAGCACATATTTTGCACAAGACGACAGAACAAAATACTCAAAAGGGGTTAGGTATTTCATGGGTCCCACCTTAAAAGCAATATTTTATCGTATTGCTACTCTGTGGTCCCCACTTCTATTTAGGTCCCTGCCACATGTCTTCATCTTGGTTGCGATCACTTATGCCTCTCCACTCGTGAAACGTTAACACGTGTCGACGGCAGAACGGAGATCATAACAATAATCTCTACGGTACGAAATCTTTCAATTCGAATTTACTCGATACATAATGGGCGGTCTATTATTTAATTGTATTTTCAGATTTCGTTTGATTATAGAAATGTATGTTTTCTGCCAATTTACAAATTATTGGCGATTGAATCATTTCGTAATTATTGTGGAGAGGCATTTTGTATGGGGCCATATACGCTCTTGATACGTATCATACGTGATAAAATTTCGAACGTGGCATGATTTTAGAGGGGACTCATAGTTGACTTTATTTGCAGTTATGAGCTCGATGATTATATAAGTCAATTCTCATTTGAATTTTGTTCACATTATGGAGAAAATAGAGCCTGTATTGCAAGTTCCTGAAAAAGAGAGTTCATATGTATTAATTATTATTATTATTATTATTATTATTTTAATTATTTTTTTTATGTGTACACTATATGTCTATATTGCGTTATGTAAGAACTCGTAGGGATTTACTTAAAAATTATTTGACGTACTTAGAGTAACCTAGGGTTTTTATAGCTTGAATATGTTAATGTTTTCGATATACAATATACATGTACATAATTCATAGGGTTTTATTTAAAACTTGATTGACGTACTTACAGTAAACCATTATTTTTATAGCTAGATCTGTTATTATTTGTCGATGTAGATGGTTTGGTTATACACCCTCGATATATGATATCACTTTTGGGCTCATCAATATTAGACCAAGTCTGTCTTTTGTTTTTGTTTTTAATTCCATTTAATTTATGTTTTGATTTTGGTTGACACCTAGTGCTCTACTACTAGTCTGTAAATGTTTATAAATTTATGGTTTATTGATTAAGAAATTTATATAATGATTGAATATGATTTACATTTTTTTATCAATCTTACTCTTTTTGTTCACATAATCTGATCTTTCAAATAATAAATATAGAGCAAAAGAAATAAAAAGATCAAACATATTCTTAATTTGAGATTGCCAGACTTAAGAATTACACGAATATAAAAACATGATAAATGTTATATATAGATCTGTTTGGAAATGTAATAGTTTTAAAATTGCATAGAATATAAACGTATAAAACACCAATTTTATGATATACAAGTACGTAAGCAAAATTTTCTCTATACTTTCAAGTTTTAATAACATTTTTCATTGATTGTGGCGCAACATGATTTTGATAAATCACTTTACTTTGTTGATCTTCTGACAACTATCAAATACGAAAAATATTCAATTAAATTTCAGAATTGCAAAAGAAAAACTACTCATATTTTCATTCTTTGAAATATGATCATAATTGTTTGGTCTAAACAACCATTGCAAGAAAATTTAACCCAAAAAAAAAACCATTGCAAGAAAAACAAACAATTAAAAAAAGTTTGCCTTAGTAGTAGGAGAAGTAAGTTTGTGGGCTATTCTCAATGATGATGGTCGGACTTAATACGGGTGCTGGGTTCGGCAATTATAAACACATAAAATTGGCACAATGTATACAGCTATAATCATATACAAAACTTGGGTACCTTAAACGTTATTTTGTGTCCCCACTTAATAGAAATCCATAACGACAACCTTTTAAGTAAAAAAATATCAACGAGAATTCCTCTCGAATTTGAATTTCATTAAAATTGAAGAACGCATATGTGATCGTTCCGAATATTCGGAAGCTTATAGTTAATTAATTAAATTAAAGGCTAAAGGGTAGCTTAACTTAGAATTAAGAGTTGCATGTATAGTGGAGTAAGTTCGTTGAGAACCGCAAACCGCAAACCGCAAACCGCAAATCACGTATATATGTATACTTTCTTTGTCCTCCTACCGCCTCTAATGTGAGTCTCTGTATGCTAAAATGCTCTGTATTTTGGTTCTTCCTCTTCTCTACTAGCTGCTAGTTTTTATCCCTGTCAACTTGTAAGCTCTAAATGATAATTTTTTGGGGTTAAAACTCTAAATGATACTTCTGTTAAGAACAAAAAAAAAGATCAATGCATATACCTTTAACGAAAAACATAATTTCTTTGTCAGAGTGGTAGAAAATTATTATGTTTTTTAATCTATATTATATAATTTTCTGTTTGCTAATCAAAATTTTATTATTCTTACATAATTCAAAAGCAAATTAGAGAAATAGACGAATGGGTATAAATTCATGTAAATGTACTTCTAAATACGTATGTCGACTCTTTATTGATACTAAAGATTTCTTTTAAAAATTTCAAGCCTGTCATTTCGGTTAGTAATCGCCAATAAATTCATTTTAGTTGTTTAAGTTTTCACAACCCCCAAAAATCAAAGTTTTCATTGATCCTCTAAATACTATTTTGTTGTACGTTGATGGTTGCACTAGAAAGAAACAACAACAATATACAGTTTAGATATATTGAAAATAACTAACAAAACTTTTCTGGCTCATTAATTAATTTTATTATAAACTTGAAAAATCATCGCATTACATTAATTAGCATATTGTGCACGGCCTATAACAAACATCTATTGTATGTCTTCTTGTCGACCCAATATCTAATGAGACCAGACGTAATCAGTAATTAATCACTGCATATATGGCAACATCAATACCAAAACTACATTACAAAAGATATTAGCATATTCATAGGGCAAAATTATTTCATATAATAATTAGTTAGATCACATAAACCAACATGCAGTCGATAAAAATGCAAGATAATTTATTGGCGTACTAGTTAAATATTTTTGGATGGAGTGAAGGAAAGGGTTACCATTTGTTGCTTTTAAGAGTCAAAGCAAGGACCTCTATAGGATAATTAGATTTTTGAGATTTAATCATCTACGAATGACTCATACCAGATTATGGTGTTCCACTACCCTTTTCACCGTCCATTTTTCTCAATCTCGTGAACTCATCCTTATTGGGCCTAAACGTTCGATCCGGTTGGGCTGTCATATAGCCCAAGTCACTCTGGGCGGGTCGGGTTATCATTGGTCGGTCATCGTCGATAACATAAGGTTAGGGCACGAAAGCGAAAGAGTGAAATTGAAACAGATCGGAATCGTCGAGAGAGACAAGAGAAGATGTCGTATCTTCTACCACACTTGCACTCCGGTTGGGCTGTCGATCAGGCGATTCTGGCTGAGGAAGAGCGTCTCGTCGTCATACGATTTGGCCATGATTGGGATGAGACTTGTATGCAGGTCTGTAATCGTTTCTTCCTCTTAACTTCGTTTTTGATCTTGAACTCGGTTATCTGTTTGATTCGATTTATAGTTCCAAATTTCGAATTCGATCCTATCGTGCTGGGAAATTTCCAATCTTTTGTGTCGATTGTTTAAATTTTTAGCCATTCGTGTGATCTTTAGCTCGGAACTGACGAAGATTAGGATTGTCACTTACAATCCTTAGTTGTTTCTGTTTGTTCCCTATAATTTTGTGGTCTCTGCTTCATTTTGCTTCTGCTGATTCAGTGAATTTGAATATCTTAGATGGATGAGGTACTGGCATCTGTTGCTGAGACGATCAAGAACTTTGCAGTGATATATCTGGTGGACATAACAGAGGTTCCTGACTTCAACACCATGTACGAGCTGTACGATCCATCAACGGTCATGTTCTTCTTTAGGAACAAGCACATTATGATCGATCTCGGAACTGGCAACAACAACAAGATCAACTGGGCTCTCAAGGATAAGCAAGAGTTCATTGATATCATTGAAACCGTCTACCGTGGTGCAAGGAAGGGTCGTGGGTTGGTGATTGCTCCAAAAGATTACTCCACTAAATACCGCTACTAAACTGAGCTTCCCAACACAATCCTCCGGATTGTTCAAAACCATTGCTCAAAACTCTAATGTCGAGTGATTCTGGTCAATTGAAATATCCCTTGAACTTGTTGCATATATGCTTTGATGAATTGTGATTTGCGTACTCTTTCAGGGCTGTGTTGCCATTTATGTATGCAAGTGCTTCGAACATGATTCAGTGATATGAAACTTAGAAGCTGATATTTGGGTTTTATATGTATTGACAGGTTGTAGTTATTGATCCGTTTGAATCTTGATCCGCTTCAAAAGCCCAAGTGGGTCACGAATCAGTGAATCACTTCATGCCCGAGTAAATACACCTAAGAAAATGGTTGAATTTTGTTTTCAATATATTGCATTTACACTCTAATTGCGTTTGTCTTTGTTTGCCATTTGCATTTGTGATACATTCAGGATTTCAGGTAGATAATAGTACACCATTTATCTCCTAACGATGGACTTCTTGTGGAAATCACGTCTCTTTTTCCATAGGCAAGTGAAACTTTTCACACAAATCTACTTAAAAATTAAATTTAATCAATGAAAATAACTTGTGTTTGTCGGGTAGTCATCAATATTAAAAATGAGAAGATTAACGAAAGTAATATTAATTTTTTGGAAGATTAAATTCAATTAGCAGAAGCTACCAAAAACTCGAAAAAGTCCACATTCTAGAAATATTGGGTTTGGGCTAAATTTGAGAAAAAAGTGTAAGCCTTTAAAGGAAGAAGCCTCTTTTGTCGGCTTTTGATCGGCTGCTGATTCTTCAAACGAAGCTCGCTGAAATTTCTTTTCTTTGCTCCATTTCCGTATTCGCCTTCACACCAGTTAGGGTTCCACAAGTTTGATTTCGGATCGGAACCTTTTTGTAGCTGATCGAGAACCAAGAAGAAACAAATCATGTCTAGGCAAGTCACAAGGCTTCTCGGATCTCTCTCATCAAAAGCTCGCCGTTGCTCAATCGGCGGCTCGGAGGTTTTTCCCTCATGCCAGTCTCTCAGCTCATTGACCCAATCTCGCTCCTTCGCGTCCGATCCTCCGCCTCCTGCGGCGGTTTTCGTTGACAAAAACACCCGAGTCATGTGTCAAGGTATCACCGGAAAGAACGGGACTTTCCACACCGAACAAGCCATTGAGTACGGCACCAAAATGGTAAAACTCATGATTGAGCATTTCTTCATTGTGCGGAAATGAACATAATTACATTGATTAGGATTATTCTCGTTTCTAGCTGGATAGACACCTCAAGTGTTATTGCAATGTCTAGGTTAGGACTCTCTGAGTTACCATGAACACACTAGTCTTTGCTCTTCCATCACCACAGTTCCGTTAGATCCTGGAGATGAAATTGTTTATTATTATCCTGCGTTGTTGGTGGTTTGATCTAAAGCTAATGGTTTTGCTAATATAGTTTTTGTGTGTGTGTTTTTATTCTGTACTAATAGGTGGCAGGAGTGACGCCTAAGAAGGGTGGAACAGAACACTTAGGTCTCCCTGTTTTCAACTCTGTTGCTGAAGCCAAGGCTGAGACGAAAGCCAATGCCTCTGTGATTTATGTTCCTGCGCCTTTCGCTGCTGCTGCTATCATGGAGGGTATACAGGCTGAGTTAGATCTTATTGTGTGCATTACCGAAGGAATCCCTCAACATGATATGGTAAACTATCCATTAGGATGATGCCTTTGATTTTTTTTGGTTTTATATCTCCTTTAATGCTCATTGCATAGGCTTGCATACTCACTCATGTAATTTGGCGCTTTTAATTCTCTCTCTGACTTGGAACTTGTGATGTTTCTTATTTAGGTACGTGTAAAGCATGCTCTTAACAGTCAATCAAAAACTAGGCTGATTGGTCCAAACTGCCCTGGGATTATCAAGCCTGGTGAATGCAAGATTGGAATTATGCCGGGATACATCCACAAGCCAGGGAAGATTGGAATTGTCTCTCGATCTGGAACCTTGACATATGAAGCTGTAAGGTCTTTCTTTATGTCTTGCTTTTGATGTTTTGTTCTCTGTCTCCATCTTGACATATTATTTTTTCCCACTAATTGAGCTTTTGGAATTTTATGTAAATGTGTGTTTTGGTGGTTATGGATATTTGATAAAAGGACTTAATTTTGTTAGGAATTCTAATCGTTGCTTTCGTTTCAAATTTTCATGCAGGTTTTCCAAACAACTGCAGTTGGTTTAGGCCAATCGACTTGTGTAGGAATTGGTGGGGATCCTTTTAACGGGACAAACTTTGTCGACTGCTTGGAGAAATTCTTTGTTGATCCTCAAACGGAAGGTAATGTTTTTTAACTCGGGTTTTCTGAAATCATTGTTCCCTCTAAATAGATTAACCGTAAACATCATTTAGTAGAACAACCACATGGTTACCTAATCTCCTTTCTTAGTGTAAAAGTAGCTTAATCTACCATTGATCCCAGGTTAGCTTCGATTGATAAACCCTAATCTATTTCAGGACCTAATCGAAATTATCCGTTTTTGATCGGTGCGATTTAGGCACTCATTTCGGGTGTTCTGCTCAGGAACACTGTTTTTGGGGAGTCAGATGAGCAAATTGTTCATCTTTCTTTCTGATTCATATTCTTTGCGTTTACAGATATCTTGAGTAGAGTTTATAGCCTTAGAAGAAGAGGTTTTATCTGGAAAAAAATGGCGGGTTGGCAGAGGCATCTACAGTTGGCTATTCGTCAAGTTGGGAAAAGAGTGAAGAACACTAACATTTCGACAGCCAATTACTCTTCAACTCGGAATTTAGAATCCCATTTCTCACAAGGTGAGTTTTTTTGTTTCCTTCAATTATTGGTGAATGCTTTGTCTTAGCCGCTGTTGAGTTTTTCTCATATGGGTTTAGAGAATGTTAAATCATTTTCTGAATCTATGTGTTCTTTGTCGATCGTTCAAAATGGCGGGTTGTGTAATATCTTGGATTTTTTTTGGTGTGTTTTTTGTGTGTTTTGAGTTGAGTGGGTGATGATTCAGTTTTTCTGGTTTTTGCTCGTGAACTAGGTTACTTGCAGGGTCTACTGAGACCAACCTACTCCTCAAGACCACTTCATCATTATCTACAACAAGTGGTAATGCTTTCTCCGCTTTCCCAGTTCTTCATTTTTCCTATTGTAATCGGACTTTCCTGTTTCCTCCTTCGAGTATTTGCTTCTGTTATTTGATATAGCCAAATAATTGCATGTGTTTGTTGTTCCAATTCTACATTGAATAGTAGAAGTTGGAGGTTTGTGAAGTGAGACTGTGCTAGTGGGATTACCTACATCTGTTATCTCTGTCAATTAGACGAAAAAACACATCTTGTGGAACTATGCATCTCTAGAAAGACTTGGATACTTTTAGATTATGGAATTTATTGGACGCTGCTTCTTTCTTCTCTGATCTGAAGTTTTGTGTTTTCAGGGAATTTCTACCTCAAGAAAACTGCAGGCTGATGAAGAACCTGTGTCATCACCTTTGTCATCTCCAGCTCTGTTAAGTAGTGGAAAAGAAGAAGAGCAGAAGATTATCCCAAAACGTGAAAAAGTGCAGGCTGTACTCAAGGCCATAAAGCAGGTGAGTTCTCAAAACTCTTACAAGAATCTGCTTTTCACATATTCTACTTCATCTCGTTTATTATGCTTTCACCCTTGCTTATTTTTTCAGAGTCCTAAGAAGGTCAACCTAGTTGCAGCACTAGTACGTGGTATGCGCGTTGAAGATGCTCTGATGCAACTGCAGGTCACAGTTAAAAGGGCTTCCCATACTGTGTACCGGGTAATCTCTCAGTTCTGTGTTTGAAACAGACAACTTGTTCTCTTAAAACAATACTTATACAATTTATATCCATTAAACTAAAGGTTATCCACGCTGCCCGAGCAAATGCTGCTCATAACCATGGACTAGATCCGGACCGCCTCATCATTGGTATGTCCTACTGATACTGAATCCTTGATATCTGTGTTTGCATTAAGGAGCGATTTATTTGTCTAAGCGTTTGATATGTGATGCAGCGGAAGCGTTTGTTGGGAAGGGACTCTTCAAGAAGAGGATATCTATCCATGGAAAAGGAAAATGCGGGTTGATGGTAAGACCCGAGTGTCGCCTAACAGTCATAGTTAGAGAGACGACTCGAGAGGAAGAAGCTGAGATTGCGAGGCTCAAAGTTCACAACTTTAAGAAGTTAAGCAAGCGGGAGAGGCGGCTTGTACCGCACAAGGTCATCGAGACAACTCCTATCTGGAACCGTAGAGGGACTAAAGCCAGTCATCGGTCCTCAGAGTTGGTGCCATCTCCCTAGTGTATTTGCATTCAATAATGTTGCAAGCACGAACCAAATTTTTAGATTTGGATCAAGGTACAATGACTAGATGTTACTTTCAAATCCAATTTTTTAGCCAAGTGATGAAAGTAAATGAACCACCAAAACATGATTGATGAAATCGAACGGTTATAAAACCAATACAAGCCATTACTTATTCAGCCTCCAGATCAAGCCACGTGGTTAATTATCGTATCGACTCCTCTCATGGTCATCGACACGTGTTCACAACCCCAACTTCCTTCATATGACCCACTCGTCTTGTCCAAGAAACAAAGGAACTTAAAAAGGCGGTGGTGAGAGTGAGAGAAAAAAAAAATTAAACGGCGAAAATGAGTTCCGGTATCGGAAGTTTAGTGAAGGTCATCTTTAAGAACTTCGACGTCATTGCTGGGTAATAAACAACTAACATATAGCCTAGCTATTTTCTTGTCTTAATGTTTCCATTAATTTGATCTTTTTTTCTGTTGGTGTGTGCAGACCTGTGATTAGCTTGGTTTATCCTCTGTAAGTCCAATAGAACTTTCTCTGAGAATTTACTCGCCTGCAAATTTTGTAAAAATTTAAGCCATTTTTTTAAATCAAGATTTTGGTTTATACAGATACGCATCAGTGAGGGCCATAGAGTCTAGGACTCATGGAGACGACAAGCAATGGCTCACTTATTGGGCTCTTTATTCACTTATCAAACTCTTTGAGCTCACTTTCTATAGACTCATCGAATGGTAAAACTTTAAAACACAGCATAAAGAAGCTTCATTGATGCGGAAGCTTCTATTTTTGAAAACAGAGTAGATTTCTATTAACTGTTTAGCTCTGGCTCTTATAACTTCTGATAAATCAATATGTCTAGGATTTCACCGGCCGATCGATCTTAATTATTATTAGAAACAAAAAAATACTTTGCTCAAAGTTGTTTTGGGGGATCCGTATTTTAAGCTTTCTTAAAGTCCAAGTAACGTGTTTAGGTTTCTGATGAGCTAATTTTTATGCCTCGACTTCAATACATAATCTGAGCGGTATACAATAGTGATTCATAGATTTGCATATTTAGTCATCTCATTCGATTTGATAAAGATATAGTGAAAGTTTCTTCTTCTTCTTCTTCTGTATGGGCTATATGTAAAGTTTCGATGTTTATGATATGATCAGGATCCCGTTATGGCCATACGCCAAGCTAGCCTTAACTTGCTGGCTGGTGCTGCCGGGCTTGAGCGGCGCTGCTTATGTCTACGAGAACTACGTGCGTTCATTCCTATTAAGTCGAAATAATGTTAACATATGGTACGTGCCAGCTAAGAAGGACGAAGACGACTTAGCATCAGCTGCTGGAAAGTTTAATGCCGGAACTGATTCCGGTGAGGCTCCTGAGAAGCTTGTTAGCTCGGTATGACCTCTTTAACTGATCTCTAAAACCCTTTTTGTGACCTAAATATGTCGCGAGACCCAGTTTTGTTGATTGTTTTATATCTTCAGGTGGATACATCAGCCAAGTATGTTGGTCACTCGGCCTTTGATGATACCTATACCTACTAGTGAAACTACTTCCGGCTGGTTGTAGCTTATATATGTTTACCCATCTTAGTGTCTCATATACTTTTTGCTTTTTGTTTCTGGTTTTTTACGAAGTTGTTGTTAAGGTTATGAAATTTTACTTTCAACATAATATGTTTATGCGTGAATAATTTATGTTTTTATGTAATAAGATCAGAGTACAAAAAAACCAGCGAGACCATACTTAGTTTAACGAGTTTGAAGCTATTTAATTTGATAACCCTGGATAAATACATTTGTATATTGTTTTTATCGTATTTGTTATACCGGATATTCTGAATGTTTATTTAGCGGTCAGAAATAAGACTCCAAAAATGGTTTCAACTGGGTCAGTCAGCCAATAACGTAACTCAGAGTGAGGGATATAGATATTTGGCTGGACAGAGAGTTTTTCCCATCCCATTATTCATTCATAAATGTTTGTAGTCAGTGTCCTTAACATTCGGTCTTATAAATTAACCAGCAAAATGGTGTTGATAAATTTCCATTCATCCATTTCACAATATTACCAAGCATATATAGTCAAACGTTCTAAGAAGAAGAAGAACTAACAACTTACATTAATTAGTCGAATATGAAAATATCTGTTTTCTTTCAACGTTTGAAAACATTGTGCTTGAACAGATAAGTCGTATACAAATATCTAATCGAAATGTGTAAGTTTGTAACCTTCTTTTTTTGGTGTTAGTTTGTAACCTTTTTCATCGTGTTAATCTGGTATCGTATTATTATGCTACTTTTAAACGATTTTCTACCTTAACTCTGACAAAAAAAAAATTTACCTTATTATATAGTTTGTTCCTAAAATACACACAACTAACCTTTTTAATAGTGTTAACTAAAAGAGAAAATAAATTTACTCAGTGAAGAAGGAAAAAGAAAAATGTGCAAAGAATAACTAGGATATATAAAATAAAAAATAGTAAGGAAACTTTATGTCTAGTCCAATTTGTAAAATGAATTACATCTTTGCACGTGGTTGATGTGTATGCAACAAAAAAAATAGAAATATAACCCAAAAAAATCAGAATTGGGAAAATAAAATAAAAAGTGAGAGTATATGTTGCCTTAGAAATGTATATAACTATGTTACTATTACTAAAGGCACCCCCACGTGATGGCGTTACATATTATTACACAGTCCAAATCAGCATCGTTATAATTGTGAACTGACATTAGCTGTTACCGAAACGAACCAAGAAGTTAATGCATCTTTCTTTCTTTGGTTTAAAAGATGAAATTCCCCAGTTTTCAAAAGCTAGGTGAAACCACTGCTTTTAATCTAATATTCGGATTTTTTTTCAACTATCTATATAATTTTTTTCCGACTAAGAATCGATATAAGTTTTCTATAGCGATAATATGAGGAGTAATAAATCTTATAATTTTGAATATTTTTAATCACATAGATTTTCTTCTGCTTCTAATCACCAAAATAAAAAAAAAAATTATTATGCTCCTTCTAAAATATTTCTTAGATTTTAAAATGAAAATTAAAATAACTAAAAAATGCTGTTTCACGCGAGACACCGTAACGACTAAAATAAGTTTTTAAAAAGATAAAATAAATACATTCTCTCTTTGGCCTATATTTTCTTCGCTCTCCGTCTTTTTCTGTGCTTCAGTTTCTCTTCCTAACAAGCAAAACCAAAAACGGATCGAATCAATTTTTCTTTAGAAACTATAAGAAAATTCTTTCTTTTTCCGTTTCGCCTAACCAATTGATTCTCTTACCTTTTTTATCGATCAATACCCATTATCACATTGCATCTGGGTTTCCAATAGAACAGAGAAAAAAAGAGGTTTTTGTTTTCGTTTTAGAGACGGGCTCAAATGGCGACGAACATTGGGATGATGGACAGTGCTTACTTTGTGGGAAGAAACGAGATTCTGGGTTGGATCAATGACCGCCTTCATCTCAATCTCTCTCGTATTGAAGAGGTATAAATTGTTACTTGGATTCTTTGTTTCTGCATGTTGGTTTCCATGGGACTGTTTGCATTGATTATAAAGGACGCTCCTTTCACTTTGAAGGGGTTTTGCTTTCATAATGTCGGTGGCCTAAGACGATTCATTTTGAGAAATGTAGTGTTGGGTCTGGTGCAATTCCTTGGATGAATTGGGTTTTGAACTCGGACTAATTAGCGATTTGGGTTTCATTTGTTCTCTCTCAACTCATGATCCAACAGATTTGTCTCTATAACAGAGTTTTCTGATCTACTACTAGTGAGTTGGGAGTGGGCTATTGTAGATTTTGATATCAAGATCATTACATTTCTCGGAAGTATCTGTCTAATATTCAAGGTGCTTTTGATGCTTTATGCTTAGCTATTGGAAGCAACTTATATGTTTGTCGTTGAATATTCTGCTTCTTACATATCGTTTTTTTCTTGCTAAGTGTATTATGGTTGGGTTTTGCTAGGCTGCATCGGGTGCTGTGCAATGTCAAATGTTGGACATGACCTTTCCTGGAGTTGTGCCAATGCACAAGGTTATTTTAGTTTCCACATTTCATCTGCATCTCTCTCTTTTTTTGTTTTGCTTCTTCGCAGAGCAATCTAAATTTCCCACTTTTAGGTTAATTTTGATGCAAAGAACGAGTACGAGATGATACAAAACTACAAGGTTATGCAAGAAGTCTTCACCAAATTGAAAATTACAAAGGTCATTCGTTTTCTTAGATATCATTTTTCCTACATTTGCTTGGGATAAAGATCCTGTGGGCAACATATGTATATCACTTACGATGTTGTGTCTTAATGGGAAATACCTCAGCCATTGGAAGTCAACAGGCTTGTGAAAGGCCGACCACTAGACAACTTGGAGTTTCTACAATGGCTGAAACGTTTTTGCGATTCCATAAATGGAGGCATTATGAATGAGTATGGACTATTTCTCTCTCTCTCTCTCTCTCTCGTCTTTATTCTTTTTATTACCTAGAAGTCTTCTTAATGGTACTCCAATGGTTTCATCATTGCAGGAATTATAATCCAGTGGAACGAAGATCAAGAGGTGGCAAAGAGAAAAGCGTAAAGGGATCTAGTAAGATCTCAAAGTCATTGCAAACAAACAATATGCATCATCCTCCAGTCACTGCTTCCAATAAACCACCTGGTCTGATATTTTAAATTAGCTTCTCTTATCCAAAATCGTCCTTATCCACACTCAATTTATAACTTACTCAACCGTTGTCGAAATTTCTAACTCCTAGGTCCCAAGCAAGCAAAATCACATGCAACTGGAGGTGGGAGCAACTCATCAGCCGAAGTGCAAGCTCTGTCCAAGGAGGTAAATTGGCATCTAACTATCCCTCTTAACTTATCGTTTTCATTCATTTCTTCATGTTAATGAAACTTTGTTATACAACATCAGCTTGCAGAACTCAAGGTCTCGGTCGATCTCTTGGAAAAAGAAAGAGATTTCTACTTCTCTAAGCTCCGGGATATAGAGATACTCTGTCAGGCTCCTGAACTCGATGATGATCTTCCGGTAAAATGTCATAGCAATTCCTTTTGGGGTTTCCTTTGTTTGGACTCAAATATTTGAGGATTTTGTAATATGTATTGCTGAAAACCACAATATGTGCAGATAGTGGTAGCAGTTAAGAAGATATTATATGCAACAGATGCAAATGAATCTGCACTAGAAGAAGCTCAAGAGTGCCTAAACCAGTCTCTAGGGCTTGAGGCTGAGGAAGAAGAAGTAGAAGAAGCGCAAACTTGAAGTTGTGATTTCTAACAAGAACAAGTTTCAAAGTAGAGGACAATGATAGTCCATTGCCTTGTCTTAGAAGATTAATCACTTTGGAGAGGATGTTTGCACAATCTTCAGTTTACCCCTAATTAACCGTTTTTTCGGTTTTTAAGTGAACCGAAGCCAAACTGTTCTTTCTATAGTTTGAAAGATTATCTCATTGATTTTCCATGTATAACAAGCTTACTACTCTATTCTATATTAACTGGGCCTTTACGTAGTAAAATCAAGTGTGGCCCAATAATAAATTACATTTTCTTTTCTTTTCTTTTTTTTTTTTTGCCAAGAACAAATCCGGTTCCCACTGATTCGGTTATTTAGACGTTTCAACTACATATATACAAATCCATTCCTAAACGGCTAACCTAATATTACGCGCGGCCTTTCAACATCGTCCAGATATCAAGTGACTTATATTTTATTACAATACTGCTGTGTAATATGAAAAAATTAGATTGGTGAATTAGCTCTTCTGGTTTAGTTCATAGAACGAAAAAAATCCATTTACATAACATTGGTTACTTTTAAGGGAAAAAATTATTAATATTTATTCCATGATAGTACACGCTTTAATGGATCACTATATTTTCTTTTAAAATATATCCCATCAATTCTAGCACTCCATACGCGTAGCTGACCACATCGAGGAATAACTCGTGCTCCAGCTTTGTATACTTCAACATCAAAAGAATATTCCATTTTAGCTCCTTGCCTAAGAATACAATTCCATTTTGTTAAATTAATTACCTCGTCATGGAATCTAATGATATATGGAGGAGCATTAAAACTTAATTTTTGTATGCCTAAGTCGTCGTCTTTGGAATAACAATGCAATTCGAGAATTCTACCGGGACCGAGTTCGTTATGAATTTCTACATTATTTTTTTTGCAAGCTTCATTTGGCTCAAAACATGTAGCAATAATTACCAGAAAAAGTATGAGATGATTCATTTTTGGATCTAAGATTGTTGTTGGAGTAATAAAGATATGCATGTAGTATTTATAATTTTGTTTGTGCTGAAGATGTGTTTTCATAAAATATTAAATTAATGTTTATGTCTTTCACTAAATTTAAACAACAATATGATCAATTAGACTTGTGATATACTTTAACAAAAAAAAAAAAGACTTGTGATCAAAGATGATTTGCTGGGAAATATGGTCGGCCAATCAGTGGCGGATCCATGATTAACTTTTACTGGTGGCAGATTTTTTTTTTTTGACATATTTATTAATTATATTTTATAATAAAAACTATTTTCATTTATGTTTATTTGTATATTTATCTTGCTTATTACTAAATACAGTAAATATAGAAAAGTGAAAATCTTAAGATAACTTCTATTTTTTAATAAATCCAAATAAATTGAATATATAATTTAATATCTTCCATTGTGGCTGGATTTATATTAATTATCTCATTAAGATTATAAATGTCATAGAAATTTTAAATTATTATAGTTTCTACAAATAAAGAGACATCTTTAAAAGAAGTTATAAAAAAGAAAATTCTTAAATGTCATTAAAAAAATCTTATATTATTATAGTTTTAAACTAGCTTCTCTTATCCATCATCGTCACTATCCACAAAAATTATAACTTACTCAACCTTTGTCGAAAACTCTAACTCCTAGGTGTCAAGGAAGCAAAGCTATTGGTGTTGGAGGTGGGAGCATGCAATTCATCAGCCGAAGTGCAAGCTCTCTCCAAGGAGGTAATTTGGCATCTAACTATCCCTCTTAACTAATCGTTTTCATTCTTTTCTTCATGTTGATGAAACTTTCTCTGACAACATCAGCTTGCAGAACTCAAGGTCTCGGTCCATCTCTTTGATAAAGAAAGATATTTTTCACTTCTCTAAGCTCCGGGATATAAAGATACTCTGTCAGACTCCTGAACTCGATGATGATATATATTCCGGTAAATGTCATATAGCAATGCCTTTTTGGTTGCTTTTGTTTCCTTTCGATTGGTCTGCGTTGCTGAAACCACAATATGTGTAGACAGTGGTAGCGGTTAAAAAGATGTTATATGCAACAGATGTTCAAGAGTGTCTAAACCAGTCTCTAGGGCTTGAGACTGAGGAAAAAGAAGCAGAGACGCAGACTTGAATTCAACTTCGAAGTTGTGATTTCATCGATGGTCCATTGCCTTGTCTTAGAAGATTGATCACTTTGGAGAGGATGTTTGCACAGTCTTCAGTATACCCCTAACCGTTTTTTCGGTTTTAAAGTGAACCGAAACGAATCTGTTCCTTCCAAAGTTTTGAAAGATTATCTCATTGGTTTTCCATGTATAACAAGCTTTTACTATTATGTATTAACATGGCCTTTACGTATAGTCAAATCAAGTGTGATCCAATAACAAATTGTCTTCTTTTTCTTTTCTTTTCTTTATTTGCCAACAACCAATTCGGTTGGGGTTCCCATTGATTCAGTTATTTAGACGTTTTTCGATACAAATCCTTTCCTAAACTGCTAAACGGCTAAACCTAATAATACGCCTTTGAAAAGAGGTCTTTCCTACTAATTGAAATTGATATTCTAAGTTTTCTACATATAAGGTCAATAAAATGTAAAACAAATTGAATTTGAAATAGAGATATCAAATGACTTATGTTTTATTACGATATATTTTGCTGTTTCTTATGACAATATTAGAGTGGTGATTTAGCCTCTTATATATGGCTTATTTCAAGAAATGAAAAAAAACAACAAAATTCAGTTAAACATTGGTCATCAGATTTAGAAAAGAAAAGAAAATTATAAGTCTTTATTCCAGAAAAATTTAAGCTTCAACGGTTCTTGAAGTTTCCTTTTAAAATATATTCCATCAGGTCTAGCGGTCCATACCCGTAACTGACCACATCGAGGAACAAGCCTTCGTCCTGCTCTGTATACTTGGACATCATTAAAAGATTTCATTTGAGGTCCGTGCCTAAAAACACATCTCCATGTTGTTAACTTAACCGCCGAGTCATGGAATCTAATGATAGATGGAGGAGCCTTATAATTAAATTTTTGTATGCCTAGGTCGTCGTCTTCGGATTTACAATGCAACTGGAGAATTTTACCAGGTCCGAGTTCGTTATGAATTACGACATGGTTTTCTTTGCAAGCTTCATTTGGCTCAAAATATGAAGCAACCAGTAATATAAAAAGTATGAGATGATTCATTTTTGGATCTGGGGTTGTTGTTGCAGTAATAAAGGTATCAACCTGTAGTATTTATAATTTTTTGTGTGTGCAGAAATATCTTTTCTTAAAATATTAAATATTTTTTTTTTTATGGTTTTGGCTAAATTTAAACAGTTAATTGTGAACCAATAAAACTTGTGATCAAAGATAGTTAGTCGGATAATATGGTCAGTCAATATGATCAAACCCATTGAACCTTAAAATTACATGGTTGACCATGAAACTCATTGCCCAGAAAAAAAATGACCATGAAACTCGTTGCCCAATAAAAATATTTAAAATTTTACAAAAGTCTTGGAAATGATTTATTACAATAATATTTGGACTAATAGAGAGTATATATTTCTCAACTGAAATACACAAATAAATTGGAACATAAATAAAATTACAATAAACTAAGAAATTAAATAGAAAAAATCTGGACTTCATCTTTAGTTTGTAGTAAGGTAAATAAAATTCTTTATCATTGCATATCTCAATTCATTTTAACCCTAACTGTATCACGCACTTCTGTTGTTGGTGTATTATATTAGGGCCATTAAAAAACGTTGTACTCAATAGAGGTAAAATCACATTGCGTCAGTTTGAAATAGAGATATCAAATGACTTATATTTTATTACGATATTTTTTGCTGTCTATTATAACAATATTAGACTGGTGATTTAGCTCTTATATATGGCTTAGTTCATACCAAAAAAAAAAAAATCAGCTAAACATTGGTCAGTTTTAGAAAGAAAAAAATGTATTATCCTTTGTTCCAACGAACTTCAAACCTCAACGGATCTTGAAGTTTTCTTTTAAAATATATTCCATCAGTTCTAGCGGTCCATACGCGTAACTGGCCACATCGAGGAACAACTCTTGGTCCTGCTTTGTATACTTCAATATCAACAGAATACTCCATTTTAGGTCCGTGCCTAAAAATACAATTCCATTCTGTTAGGTTAATCACTTCGTCATGGAATCTAATGATAGATGGAGCAGCCTTATAATTAAATGTCTGTATGCCTAGGTCGTCGTCTTTGGAACGACAATGCAACTGGAGAATTTTACCGGGACCGAGTTCGTTATGAATTACGACATGATTTTCTTTGCAAGCTTCATTTAGCTCAAAATACGAACCAGCAACTAATATAAAAAGTATGAGATGAATCATTTTTGGATCTGGGGTTGTTGTTGCAGTAATAAAGGTATCAACCTGTGGTATTTATAATTTTTTTGTGTGCAGAAGATGTTTTATCTTAAAATACTAAATAATCTTTTTATGGGTTTAGCTAAGTTTAAACAGCAATTGTAAACTAATAAAACTTGTGATCAAATATAGTTAGTCGGAAAATAGGGTCGGCCAATATGATCACATCCAATGAACCTTAAAATTACACGGTTGACCATAAAATCCGCTGCCAAAAAAAAACGACCATGAAATCCAAACCAAACAAAACGTTTAAAATATAACAAAAGTCTTGGAAATTATTTATTCCCCAATAATATTTGGACTAATAGAGAGTATAGATATATCGACTGAAATACACAAAAAAATTGGAAAATAAATAAAATTACAATAAACTAAGAAATTAAGTAGACAAAATTTGGAATTCATCTTTAATTTGTAGTAAAATTATAGGTAAATAAAATTCTTTGTCATTGCATATCTCAATTCATTTAAACCTTAACTGGGCCATCATTGCACTTCTGTTGTTGGTCTATTAATTGGGCCATTCAAAACGGTTGTGGCTCAATAGAGGTAAAATCACATTGCTTCAGTTAGTGGACTTGTAATTAAATAACAAAACATTGACCTTTTAAGGAAGAGAGAAACAAAAGTTGGGCATGGATAAAGCGTGTGTCGGTCGTGGCTTCCCAAACCGATTTATTCTTCGGAGGTGTAATTTCGTCATTTTTTTTGCTTCTGCTTCTATCTCTCTATCTAGCCCACGTTATTCAAAGGGTATTTTCGTCTTTTAAAGCAGCCAACCCGCCGATAACTCCAACACGGAAACGACGCATCAAGGATTAGGCATGGAACAAAAAAAAAAACAGCTAGCGGCCGCAAACTCCAAAATTAATTTACAAAACTATAAGCCATCTTTTTTATTTGTTACCTGTATTAGAAAACAATTACTTTTTAATAAATATGTGTTTAAATGCTGTTTACGTCTTAGAAAAGACAAGAACTTATATGAATTTTAGATTTTTAACACTTTATTATAAAATGAAAAATGCAAAACCGACGACAACAGGAACCAAAGGCGGTTCTTCTTCTTCTTCTTATATGTGCACTTGGAGCTCAAGTTCTTGTGTTCTCTCTCTAACACGAAACTATTCAAAAGCTTCAGACTTTTTCTTTCCATTCTGGATTCAAAATCGTGTTCTACACGGTTTCATATTCTTCTTTCGGATTCCAATTCCTCTTTGATTGCCCAAATCTCAGACTTTTTTTAAAAAAAATTCAAATGGATCACGTAACAAGTGAATTTCAAGCTAATTTCGATTCGGAGCAAGAAGGAGGATCAACGATATCGGAATCTGGGAGCTGTGATTCGTATGACCGACGAAGACCGTGTTTCGCCGACGAACACGGGCTTATGGAGCTGCTTGAAGGCGATAAAGCTCACGATATGATCTACCGCAACTGTAAATCTGCTCTCGGCGATCAATGCCAGATTCTCTCCGTTCTCAGAAACGGATTCCGCAACGTCGGATCTCGTGCAAAGCTCAGGACTTTCCAGATTTTCCAAGAGGCGGTGGAGATGAAACACGTCGGAGACGACGACGGCGGAGGAGGAAGCAGCAGAGCTAAGGTGAAGTACGGTTGGTGCGCCGTCGCTAAAAAGGAGCTGAAATCGATCCTAGAGTACGGCTTTAGCGAGCCGAGAAACGACGGTTCTTATGGCCGTGGATTGTATCTCTCGCCGGATAATGCTCTTCTCGAATGGTACAATTTCAACAATTTTGTATCTCTGATTTTTGCAAAGTTCACTTTTTTTTTTTTTTGGTTTTTTCTCGTAAAGCTTATTGTTTGGATTTGGTTTTTTACTAGTTTGAAGGATTCAGCTCCGGAATCAGAAGATGGGATGAGATTCTTGCTGCTTTCGAGAGTGATACTGGGAAAATCGGAGATTGTTCCTCGAGGCTCGACTCAATCGTGTCCGACTTGTCAAGAATTCGATTCAGGAGTAGACGATTTAGCTTCTCCGACAAAGTATATTGTGTGGAGCACACACATGAATACACATGTCTTGCCTGAGTTCCTTGTCTGCATTAAAGTTCCATTTAACTTCAATCGTAAGCAAGAAATGAAAAACCCCAAATTGAAATTTTTTCTTGATTGATTCTCGTCTTCTTTTTTTTTTTTGTTGTTGACATGATAATTACCTGTATTTACAGGAAGTCCAAAGAGATTGAGATCGCCATGGTTGGCATTTCCGGTATTGATCAAAGCATTATCCAAGTTCCTACCTCCTTCCCAAATACTAATCATTCAAAAACACTACAAAGATCAACAGGTAAAAAAAAAGTGTTGTTTTTTCTTCCTTCGTCTTCTTCTTCCATTTTAGGAAATTTCACATTCTAATCGGTGATTTCTTTTCATACAACAGAACAGGAGAATGTCGCGGAGCGAGCTAATACAGCGAGTCAGGGGTATAACAGGAGACAAGCTCCTTGTTCACATCATTAAAGCCTTTGGGCATAAAGTACAACAGTAAAAAACTCCATTGCACATCTCTTTGGGTTTTGGATCTCCTCAATGTGAATGTTTCCCTTACCACAAGGGTCAACAGATTTGTCAAACTTTAAGCCCATGTATGAACATAGATGAGTCGGTTGTTTTTTTAAGGATAGTGACGAAATTTTTTTTTTAGTTGACTATTTACGATTCATAGGATCAAAGTTTCAGCAACACTACAAATTATGAAGAAAGTTATCAAGAAACGTATAAAATAGATTTGGAAGCAAGACAAATCTTATTATTAATACCAGCTGAGTTTCACAATATATCTCTCTCTCTCTCTCTTAAAATCTCACTCACCCTTGAGGCCTTGACTAAACTAAGTCAACCTTTTATTTCATTTCATGTTTCAAGTTGTTATTCCCTCAATACTGAAACTACAAAACTCATTTTTATTCGATGCTACAGCAAACTACAAGCACACCACTTCTTAAGTAGATGGAGGAACTTCCCAACCTTGTGGAATCGGACCATAGTCATAGATGATCTCTCTGTGGCATGACCAAACCAGCTTTATAGCCTCCGGTGTCCCTATCCCAGCTCCTCTCGGGTCCCCCGCTGGTCCAAACCTGTGTTTACAATAGCAATGGTTTACTTTTTCTCTCAAAGAAAAAGGAAGAGAGATGTTAATTTGAACCAATGGTTTTTTTTTTTTTTTGAATTCTCACTCACCAGTGATTCTGAGGAGCTCCAGTTGTTCGTCCTCTGAGGCCAGCATATGTAGTTCCATTCACCGAGTTCCCTATCACTTCCTGCACAGATTTGTTACATCAATATCGAGAGAAGACAGAGAAGTGATTTGATTGGTTGATGATATAAGTGAAAGGCTTTGCCTGAATAAAGATGGGATCGTTTGAAACAACAGCTGCAGTTAGATGAGCGTGCATCCTCTCCAAAGCATCCAACACTAGAGGAAGTTGATCTTTTTTGTATTCCGTTACAATCTAGAAATGGGAGATACAGAAACAGCGTTAAGTATTTTCTAACATGGAAACACACAGATCATTCAGATACAAAATGAAAGTTGATATACCTGAAACGGTCCAAAGATTTCTTTGGTGACGAGTTCGTAGGTTTTACTGTCCTTCAAGATTTCTTCAATCGGAACATAAACTGCAGTAGGCTCCAAAGCTCCATAGATTGAAGGAATTGAATGATTCTTCAATGGCTTCCCACCAAAGAGTAGCTTTGATCCCGGAATCTGAAGCAGATTCTCCATGTGCTCCAACATTGCCTCCGTTGTGAACTAGAAACAATTATGACAGATGTAGTTTTAATGATACAATCTCATCGGAAAACAGATGGAGAAATTGTGAAACTTACTGTTAGGACAGGACCAATGGTCAAGTCTTCCAGTTTGCGTCTTGCGGCAAGTTCTTTTAATTTGGAAACAAGAGGGGTTTTTGACCAGTTCTGCTCATAGTCGTTTCAAACAAAGACAAAGAAACTGGACGTAAACAAAAGGATTCAAAGGCAGTTTCATCATAAAAAGATTGAGATCAAACCAACCTCGTGCATAAAAAGCATAGACTGTGCAGAACACTTCTGTCCACTGCACGCGTAGGCATCTTGATCACACACCCATGCAACGTAATCAACCTGACAATGGACGCCAGGTCAACAATGAAAATCACATCGAAAGAGAGTTATGGAAATATAAGTAGGAAGTTTATAATAAGAAACCTCCTGAACATCTGGTCCCAACACTTTCCAATCAAATCCAGCGTCTTCCAGTCTGATCCGACCCTTAAGGTCAAGTGCCAACTTTTCTGCTACTCTAGAGCTACCCGTGAAGAGGGTCATCCTTGGATTCGCCTGCAAAATATAACAAAATAAGCGAACAATGAATTAGCTCAATTTAAGAAAAACCTGTGGAGACAATAGACTTGTGAACACAAACCTCTAACAATATCTTGTTCATAGTCTTCCCATCTGAATTTATAAAGTCAACATCTTCAACGGGTAAACCACAGTGATGAAGCAATCGCATCATTTGCTCCATTACAATGCTCACCTAACAACATGACATTTGATAAGGAATATGGTTGGGAAAAAAATGGAAAAAAAGAAACACGAGAAGATATAATTTCAAATAGATGGAACCAAATGAGGAAGAACACATCATAGTGAAAAACAATACCTTGCTGTCCACTTTAAGAAGAGGTTTGTTACCCATGTATAGAGCCCCCATCAACTGAAGTAGCGGAATCTCAAGTGGAAAATTGAATGGTGTAACAATCGTTACCTGCATCATTAATCTAAGGTTTCAAAAAAGAGCGCAAGACAGAATTGTCACAAGTTACAAGCATCTAGGAAGAATGCCTTACAGGACCATAAGGCCAACGGTATCCATGACTTTGCTGCCCAAGATGATTCCCAGGTACTGCGAAAGACCGTGCCAGAAACCGCACCTAATAAAAGAAAGTGAAGCAGAAACATTATAAAAAAAAAACACATTATAAAAAAGCACTATCGGAAATTATTTCACTGACAATGAAATGTATATATAGGCAATTTCAAGAAGGAAAAGTTATGGTTTGTCTAGGAATTATATAGTTCTTGAAGGAGCCTCCAAAAAAAATAGTGAAGAGTCATGTACCTGATCACCGCAGAAGTTCTCTAAAAACTTCCGTGTGACAAAGACTTCTCCAGCAGCTTGCTGGTAACTCTTTGGAGCAACCCTTTGAATTAATCTCGTGAAGAAATCAGATACCTGATAGTACAATTTGACAAATAACCAGTAGCTAAGTATGCACATTCTTCAGGACATGAGATTAAAAAAAAAACATTTTTTACCTTAGGTAATGCAAGCATATGAGCTGCCTTTGTCGAGATATCCCCATATAAGAGGTATCTGTAATGACCATAGGTATATTCAATGAACAGAATGAGAAATAACATAACCAAAAAAAAATATTAGATTCAAAAAGCTTCTTAAATCCCAACTCCCAAGCAAATATACCTCTCTGGAGATTTGAAAGGGTTGTGCAGACCATGTTTCGGGCACTGCGATAAGCTCTCAACAAATGGCTACAGCATTGAACAGAGGAAAAAAAAAAAGTTAGAATTGAGACCGATTCCACATTGCAGTACGATTAACAGTTATGATGGGCTCGTACCTGAATTCCTGTTTCCTCCACTTCAGCAACTTTAATGAACGGTTCTCCATTAAGAGGATCCAGAAGCGTGTTATAGTTCGACGATCCTATCCATTTTCCCTGCACTATAGATATAAAGAAAATATAGATCTCAGAGATTCCACAACAGTATGTTAAAGCAAGAAGCTTTTAGTCATTTTCATGGCTTTAGAACACAATCAAAACCCAAAAAGTACCAAATTCAGAGGTATGATAATAACTTGAGAAGCTAAACCTACCAAAGCTCTGTACTTCAGCAGGATGAGCACCCGATAGCTCCTCGGCATCTACGGTAGCAAAAGGTAAGGAATGATTCAATCTGCAAAACCCACAACGCACAATTATGTCAAAGAACATTCCATTTTGTGGGTCATATCAGAAACCTATAGTCATGAAACGGTAATCAGAAAGAGTATCAAAGAAACACACCAAGTACCATTCAACATCTAATTGACTACCACTTCTATGGACAATGGCAGATGCGGATACTCGATTATCTAACAATACCGAATCTAAATCTCAGATTTTTAAAAACACCAACTTGCTAAAGTTTTGTCTTTTTATATGTACTTTAATGAAATCTTTTTTTGAGACTGTAACTCCAGTCATATCGACGTAATTCATTCTTAAAAGTAATCAATCTATTTCGGCAAAAACATGCAAACACAAAAGGGGAACAACAATGTTTTTAAAAAAAAAAATAACTTGGCGAGATCAACAAAGATAAAATGGAAGATTCAAGACCTGGAAAAGGTCAAAGAACCAAGGAAGCTCGCGGATTTGTCACAGAGGAGAGACTTAGCTCTCAGTCCTCGGCTCGCCAAAACTCTGTACATTGCGTAAGATCCAGAAGAGACGGAGAAAGATGAAATCAGACGTTTTGAGGATTCGAGATTTGTAAAATTATGTGATTTGGTTTGTGGCTTATAAAATGGAGTAAATGGTTTCCCCTGATTGATTGAATACCATAAATGATTTTTAGATATTTATAGATTGTTTCCCTTTATTTTAATATTATTTACCGTCTAACGCCATAGTTTTTTATTGCTATTATTAAGCCTCCTAATTCATGAGGAAGAAAGAAGCATATTCTGTCTTATTCAAACCATCTATAATTAAATGGAGTCAGAACTAATTAAAATACAAAGGGAAACGAAAATGAAATTAGTTAAGTTTGAGTTATTAGGTACGTTAAACAGATTTTGTTGTAAATGTTAGTATCCATTAATCTTCATTAGTTAATAAATTAAAAGTATTAAAATGGGGATAGCTTGCTGAGTCACGTCCGCTTGGCAATTGACTCACTATTTGTTTGTCTTTACGCTAAACGATTAATAAATTCCTCTAAAATATATTACAAATAAATAAAAAATTCCATCTTTGGAAGAAAATAGTTTTTTTTTTTTAATGTAAAATGTCCTTTGTCAGATTGTCTTTCTCATTTCATCTCCCCCCTTTTCTCCTTTTCTCCTGTAGAATTCTCTTCTCTTATTTGGTAAAGAAAAGAAAAGAAAAAGAAAGAAAAAAAAAAACAAATTTTCTTCTTTGATTCTCTCTATTTACTTTTGCTATTCTCCACTCAATAGATTTCTCATCATCTCTTTGTCTCCGGAAACCTACAGCCTGTTCATCGAATTACATCGATCGAAGGTTGAAGATTGAAAAACCCTAGCTTTTGGTCACCTGTTTGATTAATCTTTATTGCAGCTTTTAATTTCAGGTTAGTCGAGCTTTTTTTGTTGGATTCTTGACATCAGAAGATGAAAATCCTTCTTGCTATTGTAATTATATATCCTTCTTTTATGGGTTTAGTATTTACGAAAAAAAGTAAAGTGCTTGTAAAGAATCTCACCCTAATGCTTGTTGAAATTATGTCGACAATCATACTCTGATCTAATTTTTCTCTTCAATATCTCTCCCTGAATCAAATTTAACTTTTTTAGTTAAAATATTTGATCAAACCAAACTTGAGGCATTTCTTGTTTAGATGATTTGGTCTCTTTAAAAGTTTGGTGTCTTTTGTTTCTTTGATTCAAATTTCTCATTAGCTTTTGGGCTTTAGTGCTGTTGGAGCTTAATGTAGATCTTGGTCTCTGCTTCTAGTTCTTTGAGGGTTTAAGAAAGTTGAAATCTTAATCAGAAAAATGCTTTACCAGTATGTCTTTGTGGCAAATGAAAGCAAGCTCATTTAGCTCCCTGATTCACTCTTACCAGTTACGATACTTGTGAAAAGAGTTCCTAAGAGTTAACTTGGAATATTTCATATGCAGTTTTGTGAATTGAGAAAGGGGTTCCAACAATAATGACAAGTCCTGCTAAAAAGAGACTAATGTGGGATTTCAAGAGACTGCAGAAAGATCCTCCCGTGGGGATAAGTGGAGCTCCACAAGATAACAATATCATGCATTGGAATGCTGTCATCTTTGGGTAAAAATCTTGAAACATTTTTTGTGTGTTCTGTATTCTTTTGTTTGTCTTTCAATATGCTTTAAAATATGGCTTTGTAAATGGATTTCTCCATTGTCTTTGCAGACCTGATGACAGTCCATGGGATGGAGGTATAATCTGTCTACTATACTTATTGTTTCATATCTCATGAGGTATAACTATTAGCTTAACTTATCAACCTTATGTTAAATAATCTGTTAGGTACTTTCAAGTTGACTCTTCAGTTCACCGAGGACTACCCAAACAAACCCCCAATAGTCCGGTTTGTTTCACGGATGTTTCATCCAAACAGTAAGCTCAAGCGTTCAACATAGAAAATGACCAAATTACTTAGTTCTTGAACGACTCTTAAAACTTGGTATTTGAACTTTGGTGCAGTTTATGCTGATGGAAGCATTTGCTTGGATATCTTACAAAACCAGTGGAGCCCCATATATGACGTTGCTGCGATACTCACATCAATTCAGGTTTTTAACTAATGCTTTCCCCCATTGCATATGTTGCATTGTGGCTTATGCATAAACTAACCAAGGTCTTGATTTTATTGTTCTTTTTACAGTCCCTACTTTGTGACCCAAACCCTAATTCGCCAGCAAACTCAGAGGCTGCAAGGTTGTTCAGTGAGAACAAACGAGAATATAACAGGAAAGTAAGGGAGATTGTGGAGCAGAGCTATGTATAATATATGATTCAATTTGTATTGACTGTTGAGTAATTGGAGATTGAACAGTTACATTTTTAAGTAATTTTATATCGGATTTATAAGTTTCAAAATGAGCTGCCAAGTACTTTTGATAGCTAAGAATGATCAACTTTGAACAGAAAACTGTAGAAGAAAGACAAGAACTTGAAAATAAATAATAACACAATTACACAAGCAAATAAATATAATATTTGTGTCTTTCAAACCAAACTTTTTAAACAAACTTGCAAAAGCTTTTCAACTATGTGCCTTGAACAAATCATCCAAACCAAAAGAAAAAGAGTTGATTGAGATGTGAAGCAAGAAACGATTCTCTGTTTCTTCAGTTAAGCTTGGATTTCTTCTCCTGCGCCAACAACCTGCAATGATTAAGCTCGTGTTAGTCTTTTAGCTACAGAAGCGATTCGATCCTGTGAACTAAAGAATTTTGTTTTTACTCACAGAGTTTTCCTTGTTCTCCATTTTCTTCATTTGCTTCAGAGTTTTAACTTCACCTACACGAAAGAACATTAAATACCATCAGCCACAAAAGGAAGACAAGCTTATCAAAGACACTATATGATTATTATTATTTTTTTACCTTCTTTGGCAGCAGGTTTCTTGGTTGACTTCTTTGTCTCTTCTTGGATTTTCTTAGTCCTCGGTTTCGTGATCCTTTCATCCTTCTTCTGAGACTTGTTTTCTGGAACTGTTCTTGAATTACCAGAGTATGTTGCTACTGGTTTCTTTGTCCTCGCGGGCATGTTGTTCTTAGAAGCAGTCTCCTTCCTGTTTGCACGTTTTTTGTCTGAAGGTTGAACAGCAGTTACCATTGGAACTCCATCTTCTGTTTCTTGAACAACCTCTGAAACATCCTCTTGATTCACATTGATTACATCCAAAGACTTTCTAGTTCTTCCTTGTGGGATGGTTTCTGAGGCCTCTTCCTCCTTGGCTGTTTCTGTGACAGCTAAATCTTGCAAATCATCCTCTTTCATGATCTCTGATGTGATGTTCGAATTTCCAGGGGTGGAGAGTGAACTCTGGACATCCTTATCAAAGTTCAGAGAAACAGTTGTTTCTTCGGCCAGTACAGAACTGGTCTCTGAGATCTGCATCTGCTTGGATTCTTCTGAGAAATGGTACAGTTCAGAGAGTTCCTTCATAGCATCTTCAAGCCCATCCAAGTTATTGCGGCGAGCGTATGATTTCAACTCTTCTTTCATCTGGTCAAGCGGCTGTATTAACAAAACACAAAGCCAGTGAGTTACTTGAATACACAATCAAGGCATATTCCAATCCAAAGCTTTCATGAAATTAGCAATTTACCTCACACCCTGAATGAAGAGCAAGTTTAAAGAAACCGAGAGAGATGGAATGTTTAGCCACTGATTCAGCTAGCTTGATATGAGACAGCCAATAGGTCGAGGAAGACAAATCTTCAACTTTTTTACGTGTCACTGATCTCAGCACACTAGAGACAGGTGTTTCATTGAAGCTCCTCGCATTGGCTGATCTCTTTGCCTTGCTTTCTGAAACAGAAGTGATGGTACTGGCTGATTTAACAGAAGAATTGCTCGAGGTCTTGGTTGGAATCGACAGTCTTCTGGGTGGCTTGGTGCGATCAACACTCTTCTTAGCTGCTGAGAAATCAAGAGCTGTAGTACTCTGACTAACAGCAGATGCAACTCGTCCCCTGAGATTCGAGCCACACAAAAATATAATTCAACAGACGATTTATTATGCTGCAGAATTATAGAAATTAGAATAGCTACAACAAAGGTTAATATGGACTCAGACACATACTACAAAATAAATGATGCAATATATATCATCTTATCCTAGAAATTCAAGCTATGGTCGAATTCTGGGGAAAATTTTCAAAAAGCTTCTTCAGAAATTAGAAAGACTAAATGTAAGCAAGTGACGCAGCATTTAGTCTTAATCCTAATCAATGTCGCATCGATACCAGATCTAGAATGTCATTATCGCATCGGAGGAATTTGAAAGGTAATTATGCTAATGAAGATCGAGAAACAAAAAAACTATGTAGAGTACCTTCTGGGTGCTGAAGAAGCTGAAAAATCTGGAACAGGAGGCTTCCCTTCTCTCGATCTGAGAGCCGATCTTAGAGGATACCTCAGCTTCGAATTGATTGAGTTCCCTATTAGTAATTCCCACGAGATCAGATCAGAAAAGAGAAATTTCACGAAACTGAAACGTAGATTGATCAATCAGAGAGAAGGAATTGAAGATCAAATTACCAGAAGCAACAGAGCTCACGCTTTTCTCCGTTGATTTCTCCATGGATAAACTTAGAAACTCCTACTCGTTTTTTTCTTTATCTTTGTTTTTTTCTCTCGAGTGGGAGTGGGGAAGAAACTGCTGACTTCAATTTGAAAATGTGAGAGCGGAGAAATTTGACTTATGAAATTTTTTAAAATGTGAGAGCTTTTCTCGCGTGTGACTCCAATACTCTATGATATTTTATCTTATGACCCCATAGTTTAAATTAAATCACTTTTTACCCATTTACGATCACAGCCATCAGATAAATATGATTCTTAATCAGAGTTTTGATCAGAAATTTAGATATATTCCTAAGTATTCATTCATACATTCACCGTTTCTTAGTGTATGAAAAACGGATTTTCATGACTCATATATTTGTGGGGTAAAAATTGGGATTTGGGACAAAATCAAAAATATGAGCTTAAGAAAAGAAGATATATGAAGTAAAAGGATCTACTTTAAAAATAGTTCACAAAATGTAACGCGTAACCTAAGTTTCTGTTGCAGTTAGCCTTGAGAGCGGGAAATTAGTTAAAGGCTCTTTAAGTTCTGAGGAGAGATGATTCGATGAATCACTACAAGCCGTCCGATTGTCGCTGATTTCAAATCCGAGGGCCACAATTTCCCAGACGCTCCGTTGTGAGTGGGACCTCTTTTTTTCTGTGTTGTTATTTTTCGAAACTTCAAATTCAAATAACGCGCCTTCGAAAGACTTGGGTATTGGAGATTTGGAGGGCTTAATGTTTCTCAATATTGGGATTTGTTTGGGCTCGTCCAATGGGTTTTGACATTCTGTACTGTACATTTTCTATCAAACAAATTTGATCCAAGGGGATGATATGATCTCTAAACAAATTTTAAATGGAGAAAATTTATTTATAACAACTTGGGAATTTTGGATAGAAGTTCATTACTAATTTGTGAAACCTGTGAAAAACGGGATATATTCTCAATTGCCAACTATGATTGAAATCTCCCAAAATAAATCATTCGATCACTGGTAAATAGAGAGGAACATAAGCCAAAAACAATGGTATCAATGAATTGTTCAAAAAGAACCATTAATAAGTATCTTTCATGCGAAGGAGATTGGGAGTGAATAAAAAACAGAGCGTAAAGACAATTACAAAACATACACGTATTCTTCCTCATCGTGATGATATACAGTACGATCACCTTCAAACATATACACGTATTAAAACGGCGTTTAAAGACCATCCAGATTCAATCCCATGTTTTAAAAGAAGACAAAGCCAATGGACACAGATGAGATGATCAATGTTAGACTACGTACTAAGGCTGGGTGGGTGAGAGAACTAACAAGACTATTGAACGATTCTTACAATAGCCTTCTTCCATTAAAACATGCATAAGAACTTCTTTTTAAAAAAAGAAAAACTATAAGAGAACCATCCTAGTTATTTTCCTTGTCTACACATTCAGAGAGCGTTGGAGTATATTAGTGGAGGTCATGTTCTTGTTTTTTTATCTAATCGATACTACTGTCACCCTCTCCGACTTTATCTCACTAGAAACAATATAAATATATGGTTTCACTTACTAAAGGACTTTATCTATTTTATTAATTTTATTTTTATTAAAAGGCTTAACTTTATATATATTATCAATATAATTTTTTTAGGATAATACTATTTTCTCGTTCTTTGAGTATGTAACACGCCTGAAGTGTCTGTATCAACGACCATTATCATATCTAGTGCATTTAAAAAGAATATTACAGAGTGCATTTACTCGGTCTTTTAAGTTTTTAACTAACAATACTTGTACTCGCTCATAGTCTCCCTCTCTATTCGGTGTATTTCGGTGTTTATACTTTTAAAGCGTTTTAGATATTTATGTCGTAGGTAAATCTATTCGGTCTTAGTAAAATTGAAAACACCTTTTTGAAGTTTAAACTTGTAGTATTTCCATTTCCTCGTTACTGTATTAAATCGCAAACGATTTTGGCTCATGGTGACACAATTAAGTGTTCATTAATGATCATCATCAACTTTACAATATCAAAAGTAAAACAAGAAAAAGTCAGAAAAGTCATAGTCGTTACTATATCAGGCATCAGCGTTATAGATTCCATTTTGTTTGATTATTTTAGTGTTTATTATTTAGATCAAACAACTAAAATCCAATTGAAGGGGGTTTCCGGTTTAATTTAGCTCAATTTGGATCGGTTTATTCATCAAAACCTTTTCGTCGTCTTCTTCTTTCTCTCAGAGAGCTTCTTTTATTGTGTGGCGATGGGTGGAAATAACAGGCAGAGATGGTTCTCCTTCCACCAACGATCCTCTTCCGCCACCGGTACAACAGTACCGCAGCACAAACACGACGAGACTCCGCCGGAGTTTCTCTGCCCCATCACCGGATTCCTCATGTCGGATCCAGTTGTCGTCCCATCGGGTCAAACCTTCGAGCGTCTCTCCGTTCAGGTCTGTCGTAACTTAGGGTTTGTACCGGATCTCCTCGACGGTACCCGACCCGATTTCTCCACCGTCATCCCCAATCTCGCCATGAAATCCACCATTTTCAGCTGGTGCGATCGGAGAAAAGTCGACCATCCTCGCCCTCCTGATTCCGCCTACATCGAAGGCGTGGTTCGTGCTCGAATGGATAAGGATCCGAGTCCGGGTCCGGAATCTCCGGTTACTAGGGCTGCTCCGGAGCCTGAGAGTCTCCCTCCAGTTGCTGAGAATTCGCCTTCGGATTACGAAACGGTGATGGAAGCGATTCGAGCTCGATCCAGGAGCTCAATGTCGCCGACCACATCGCTCGAGTCGGTTACGATTGGGCAGAGTCCGTTTCACCCGACCCGAGCCGTTAGTATGTTCTCTTCTTCTTCTACTACTTCTTCCTCGTCGGGAGTTTTCGCCGGAGCTGATAGTCCGATTCGGAACGCTATCTCTTTCTCTTCCTCCGATTACTCTTCCTCGTCTCCGATGTCGCCGGAAGAAGAAGAGATCTTCAACAAATTGAGAGGCGCCGACATTTTCGACCACGAGCAAGGTCTGATACTGCTTAGGAAGATGACGAGATCCAGCGAAGACCTTCGTGTTTCGCTCTGCACTGAACGAATCCTCTCTTTTCTCCGATCACTTCTCGTTTCACGGTACAACCTCGTGCAGACCAACGCCGCCGCGTCGCTTGTCAACCTCTCGTTGGAGAAACAGAACAAGGTGAAGATCGTACGGTCAGGATTCGTTCCTCTTTTGATCGACGTCCTGAAATCGGGGACGACGGAGGCGCAAGAACACGTCGCCGGCGCTTTGTTCAGCTTGGCGCTTGAAGACGAGAACAAAATGGTGATCGGAGTTCTCGGCGCGGTGGAGCCGCTCCTCCACGCTCTACGTTCGTCAGAGAGCGAAAGAGCACGTCAAGACGCGGCGCTTGCGCTCTACCATTTGTCGCTGATTCCGAGCAATCGAACCAGGCTGGTCCGAGCAGGTGCGGTGCCGACTCTGCTTTCGATGGTCAGATCCGGCGAGTCGACTAGCCGGATACTTTTGGTGCTCTGCAACCTCGCGGCTTGTCCAGATGGTAAAGGGGCGATGCTTGACGGAAATGCGGTGGCGATACTTGTAGGGAAGCTAAGAGAAGACGGAGATGATTCCGAGGCGGCGCGTGAGAATTGCGTGGCGGTTTTGTTGACGCTGTGTCAAGGGAATCTGAGGTTTAGGGGATTGGCCAGTGAGGCGGGAGCTGAAGAAGTGTTGAAGGAAGTGGAAGAGAGCGGGAACGGACGGGTGAAGGAGAAGGCGGCAAAGATTCTGCAGGCGATGAGAGGTGGAGGAGACGGAGGAGAGAGTGAGTTTGGGGAAAATGCGGAGGCGCGTGAATGGAACCGTATGCTTGAAGCGACTGGGCTAAGTCGGGCTCAGTTTCAAGGAGGGCAAAATGGGGGTTTCGCCTATTCCTCCCAATTTTAGCTTTTTTTTTTTCTTTTAATTATCTTCCCTCGGTTCTCTTTACCCTTTTTTTGTAGTAAAATGTTGCGTTTTGTGTGTTTGATAAAAATGGGTGTAAATTATTAATTTTTGAGTGAATTGTAATATATGTGTTTATTGGTTTTTTGTCATTAAATGACAAAAGTGAAATGTCCAATCTATTTGTTAAGAGATGTCTTTTTTTTTTTCTTTGAACGTCATTTGTAAAGAGATGTCTAATGTGTTAAATTTACCTCTTTTGTGGTTAAATGGTATCTTATTAATGATTGTAATTGTATGTTATTAATCGACTTATCGTAAATTAGTGATATGTATGAATGAGAGAGAGGACACAATCAAACTTAAGAGACAAGAAGCGTGCGTGTGATGGGGAAATTAAGATATAGTGGAAGCTTTAAGTATTATCTCAAAGTGGGAGCTATAGCTTTTGGTCAAAGTCAGACAGTTCGTGTGAAGATGTCAGATGGCAAAGCTCTGAATTATTCTACAAACATTCCGTGTGATACCATGATATCCAGTAAACAAATGATATTAACCAATCCTGTTCTATTTAAATACAGACAAGAGGAAAACCAAGTACTATTGAGAATAAAATACATATATTATATAACATAACATGTAAATAATCCTAACTAATTAGGTCGGATTTGAGTTGATCATTTCTTAATATTCCTGCCCAGCCCAAAGAAGTGTTCTCGTGGGCTAAAAATTCATTTGGGTGATTTAAATATTCTGAAATCGTTAAGTTTCCATAGGTAGTATAAATTTAATAATAATATATGTTGTTTGCTTATGGGGTTCGATTGATGATGAACTGCCAATATTCAATTTGAATTTTGCTTAAGCAATGCTTGGTAATTGTAAACGATCTCTTTATACTGGATACTTCAGTAGTACACACTGTATTACTCCCCTCGTTAAGAGAATATGATTCAACTTCATGTCTGAATAATGTGACTTAATGTGAAGTAAATTATATTTTAAACATGTTTAGTTGAGACAGGTTTGTGTTTGTCCCTAGACTGTAGTGCATGCTTTACATATAAAAATACCCTAGACAAACTCATTTTCTTGTTTTGCTTTTTCGTTCTTCAGGTCACGCGCTTATGTTTATGATTTGTGTTGGTATTGAGAATGGGTACGTCGACATCTTTGTTTGCTAATTTATGATGTGTACGATTGGCCTAGACTCTAGAGTTCGGGTTTTGTTATATAAGAAAAAGTGAATTATCTCACGGAACCAACAATCAAATTCAATTGCGTAGATGCTTTTGGCACGATTCAACCATAGATAAACTTAAAAACCAAGTACTCTGATCTACGTTTTAGTCAAATTAATATGATTAGAAACTGAAAGACATTTCACATCTGCTAGTTGGCAAAGAATAATTTTAGATCAAACATTAACATGATTTGTGTTAATTGTTCCACTTGGAAAGACACAATCATATGACAAGGCCTTATGGCTGGGGCATAAGTTAATGTTATCCATAGGGTTCTTTTGTTTGTGACCTATAGCTAATTGATTCATATCCATGTGACAATAAGAACAAAGATGAATTATGGAAACTTGTACATTATTTATATGGATGATTGTAACTTTCCGCATGCTTGATGATTTCTTGGTCCAGCCCTAGGAACATTCCTTATTTATCTAATCCAAAACTCGAATGACCAGAAACCAAAATTCTTCGCTGATAAATTTACTTTAGAAACCCTTCTTCTACGTATAGAAATTCCTAAAAACATTACTCCGTACAACATTTCCACAAATAAAAATTTATAAAACCATCAATCATCACTCAATTTTAATTATTTTGATTTTTTTTTGGGGTTCAACAATTCTTTTGATTATACTATGAGCTAATTTGATGATTGCACTTAATTCGAGGGTTAAGGTTTAAAAGTATGACCATATATTAAAAGGTCAACATTTTTGTTTTCTCTTTTCAATTAAGCACACAATAAATTAGCATATGGAAGAAAATAAATAAATAAAATTGGGGGTTCCTCGTCACTGACGCGGTTTCAGTGGACCCCGCAACACAACACACTGAGAAAGCTTCACAATACCAATTCTTCTTTGCGTCTCTATCTGCTTACTCCAAAGAATTTACATAATCCCCTCTTTTTGTTTTTCTAAAGTTTTCGACTTGTGCGACAGATTTTGAATTAGCTTCTTTTATTTTCTTTTTTTTTTGGTCTGTGAAGAGCTGGTGTGGTGGGGAAGAGAGGTAGATAGATAATTCCAAGATACGGGTCTTGTTTGAAGATCAGATTTCCGTTACTCTTTTGGATTTATATATCTTACATGGAATTTTTTGCTCTGATAATCCAGAAACATACACAAAATTTCTGTAAATGGTTGAAATTCTCTCTGAATCTCGACGGCTCTTGTTGAATTCGGTTGCTGCACCTTCGTGGGTATCTGAAAGATGTCGCAGAAGAGAGAGTTTGAAGAAGGAAAAGCTCGGCTTGAAGGTGGCTCACCGGAGGACAAGCGTAGAAGATTCAAAAGGTATAGTTTTTTTTAGCTTCTTCGGGGTTTATGATCCTCGAATCAGTAACCATATGTGTTTTGGATATGAATGAGCTTATGAATATGAATTATAGTCTACAAGCTGTGATCTTTATATCCCATGGCTATGAACAAGAACCGTTCTTAAAGAACATATCGTCACGCAAGAACAAGTAGTAGAGTTAAGACAAAACTTAGTATCTATGGTTAGGATATGAGACGAACTTCTACAGCTTGTGAGGGTCTTTAGTTGGATTGTTTATGTGATGTTTTTGGAGGAGACTTGTTGATCATTCTGTTCTTAACTTAAAAGTTATAAGTAGGCTTGGTATTGTCTAAACAAAGAGTGATACTTCTGGGAAGATAAATTTGGTTTGCAACACAATATTACTTATACTACTAGCATATATGACCCCTCGTAATTACCATGTTTTGGGTTACTCGATATGAAGCTTTGTTTTTCCCTGTCTCCTTCTGTGGACAAAGCTACAAGGCAAATCTAATTTAGAACCATGAATCGATTTCTAAATTGATTCTTTAGTGTTACCCAGCCTATGCTGAATTCCCACATCTGACTTTGGATACAAATTTAGTGTGGTTCAGGAGGTAATGAGACTGCAAACTGTCAAACATTTTCTCGAACCTGTTCTCGAGCCCTTGATTCGTAAAGTGGTACGTGTTGTGTTAAAAGAATATAGTACCTTTCTCCTAGGATTTCGTGTTTGTTTTATCGATTATATTCGTGAGTATCCCTTGGAACAGGTCAAAGAAGAAGTTGAATTGGCTCTTGGAAAGCATCTAACAGGCATCAAGTGGTAAACCTGGTTTCATAATAAATATAAGATTTTTAGGCTGTTCTGTTGTTGATACTTTCTTCCCATGTTCATCTTTCTTCAGGATTTGTGAGAAAGAGATTCATCCTCTAGAATCAAGGAGCCTACAGTTGAAGTTCTTGAACAATCTATCGCTTCCCGTGTTCACTTCAGCCCGGATAGAAGGAGATGAAGGCCAAGCTCTAAGAGTTGGATTAATCGACCCTTCAACTGGTCAAATTGTCTCCTCCGGGCCAGCTTCATCTGCCAAGCTCGAAATTTTTGTTGTGGAGGGTGATTTTGACAGTTATAGCGGTTGGACAACTGAGGATATCAGAAATAACATTGTAAGAGAGAGACAAGGAAAGAAACCTCTAGTCAGTGGGAATATATTTGTGGTTCTTAACGATGGAATCGGTGTTCTGGATGATATTTCACTTACAGACAACTCTAGCTGGACTAGGAGCAGGAAGTTCAGACTTGGGGTACGAATGGTGGACCAATTTGATTTTGTCATAGTTAGAGAGGCAATAACAGAGTCGTTTGTCGTAAGGGATCACCGTGGAGAGTGTAAGTATTGCTTGCTAGTTTATTCACTCACGTTGTGTACCACTGAACCTATTTTGGAGCATTTTCTTATCAGATTTATAAGATTTGCAAAAAAAGATCTCTTTGAGTTTTCTTAGATTCTTTTCTGCTGACTCTGAGAGTCTTAGCACGGGTTTAAGAACCAGCACCAGCACCAGAGTTGAGACTTGAAAGAAAATTTTTACTCTCCAGTACTCCCTTGTTTCTTTCATTTTTAAGACATCGGGTTGTCTGAATAATTCAATTTCTCGGTCTTTTCTTGTAGTGTACCGAAAGCACCATCCTCCTTCTCTTTTTGATGAAGTCTGGAGATTGGAAAAGATAGGGAAAGATGGAGCATTTCACAAACGACTGAATTGGTCAAATATAATCACTGTCAAGGATTTCCTAACGCATTTCCATTTAGACTCTTCAAAACTCCGGCAAGTAAGATTCGTTTTCCTTCGTATAAACAATCTGGCGTCTATGTGTGCTTCTCTTGTCTTTTTGGTAAAAAATTATACATTTAAGGACGTGAATCTTTTGCCTGACCAGTAGTAGTGGTTTGTGATTCAATCTCACCTTGTGAAAAAAAAAACATGGTTTTAAGGTTGTCTATTCCTAATGAAGATTTTCGTGCAGATTCTTGGTACGGGTATGTCTTCAAAGATGTGGGAAATTAGTGTGGACCATGCTCGATCATGTGTTCTGGATAATAGCGTCCATGTGTACCAACCTCCTGGATTTCAGAAGAAAACCGCGGTGGTCTTCAATGTCGTAGCACAAGTGCTTGGACTGCTTGTGGATTTTCAGTATGTTCCTGCGGAAAAATTATCTGAGATTGAAAAGGCACTGATCCGCTCTCTCTTTCTCTTTGTTTATCTCTCTACGGATTTGACTTGGTCTTCATAAAGTTTGAATTTTTCTGATTCAGGCTCAAGCCGAAGAGATGGTGATCGCTGCTTTGAGTCAACCAGATCAAGTAATCTCGTATGACGATGAGTCTTCCATGATGAGGAACTTTCTCAATGTCCCACCTTCTCAAAGCAGTGTAGGGATTGATTATTCCGGTCTTAGTTTGACCAGCTTGGACGGTTATGGTTTTTTGCCAAATATTCGAAACACAGCTGAAGGTAGTAGTGGCCAGTACAGTGATGATGTTGACATGGAAGTTACTCCACAAGGTTTATATGAAGACTTCGATCTCTGGAATTGCTCTCATATTCTAGGCTTAGAAGAACCGCAATCAGATTTACAGAGTGCGCTCGACGGTTTCATGTCACAGAAGAATGTCGTAGTCGGTAAGGCTCACAGCAAAAGATGGACAAAGCTTTTCAGTGTCTCGAAATGGCTCTCTGTTTTCAAGAATGTTACTGTTAGGAAAACTCTGAGCTGAGTTAGTTTTAAAATAAAAAAGAATACGACTCGCCCTGGACAGACTCATGTATATATTATACAGACTCGAGGAAAGCTCGGGTTTTCTGATCGTCCAGAGGCGTTCAAAAGACTTCTCTTTTTCGTTTGCTCTTTTCATCTTTGTATTAAAGATGTGAATATGTTAGGAAAGCTTCATTTTTTGTTGAAGGATTTTAAAAAACAGGTTCTTTTATAATCTTTTTGATCAGAACTATTCAAGCTCTGCCGAAGTATATAGAAATCCAGTTTTGGACAGATTTATTGTTTCTCGGAATGTTATTTTGTTTGCCAGGTAATGTGAAACTACATAAATTGAATAACTCGTTTTTGAATCAAATGAGTTATATCTTCTAGACTCAAAGTACACTAGACAACAATCTTTGATCTGATAAAAAGAATTTCAGAAGAAGTTTTCATAACTAATCTAGATATGGAAACTTGGAAGTGAGAGAGGGTGATGAATAAACATAAAATAGTTTTGGGGTCAAAATGAAATAATTCCAAATTATACAGAGTATGTTAGAAACTCGAAATTCTTCGACTATGAATGAACTGGAGAGGATTTTTTTCCATCTGTATATCGATCTTCGATACTCCTCTGGGCATGGCGTTTTTGCTCAATAACGCTTCAATTTCATCTCATTTCCGTTCTTCTTCACAGGTTTGGATCGAATAATCATCTTGTTGATGGATTATTGTTGAATCTTCGTTTGATCTGTGTGACAATTTCCTTTTGAAATATTTACAGAAGACGGGTGATGCCTTATCTCTATCCCGTCGCGGATTCCACATCGAGCCAGGAACTCGTGAGAAAGCTGTAAGTATCTCTCTTGTCGTTATTTTAGGGGTTTCTCTTACATTTTACTGTTCCTTTTTGGACGAACTAGTGTATGATTGAATGCTCTTTATGAGCATTTGGAATCTTAACTTGGCTTAGATTTACGTCTTGATTGAGTACTGGTTCATTGTGACACAGTTGTTTTTGTGGGATTTTCGTATCAAAACTGAGAATTGCAGATTGTAATTGCTCGAGAGAGATTTGAGAATCTTATGAAATGCATAGAAATAGTATTCATTTTGGTGAACTGGTGATGTTTTGTTAGTCCGAATTCGTTTTTGTGAGAAGAGTATTCTCGATTTGAGTTGTTGTTGTTGTTGTTGTTGTTGTGCTTATACTGTTTCATGACAATCTCTTGTATAATTGATGAGTTTGTCTTCCTTAACTGAAATCTCGTGTAGCTCTTGGCTGAAGATGCTACTTTGAAGAGATTCAAGTCTCATAAGAAAGGTGTGCACAGATTGAGAAAGATTGGAGATGTGCTCACAGTCGTTGTTATTGCAGGTTAATAGACAGCTCATAGCTTTTTATTTTGGTTGAAGCTAATCAGAATTTTGTTTTGTTTATGTAGTCAGTTTTGTGAAGATAGAAACATAATCCGTTACAGTTTAGATGAATTTGAGAAAGGGATTTACTGTGTACACTTGATTATCCACCTAGGTTGAATATCATATGTTTCATGGAGATATTCTGTAGATGTGAATGTAAAATGTTTAGCAACTTTAAAATCTTCCTCATAACATCATTGAGAACTCTGTAAAAGAAGCTCTTGAGATGTCACTTCATTTGTCTGAAACGTTTCTCTTCAATCGCTATGAAAAGAAACTTGGTCGGTACTAGTTGGCAGTTGCTCTTGAGATGTCATTTGTCCAACTTTTTCGGTGTACTTAGCAATATGAAGTTCCATTGAGTATGACATTGACATACATGATACATGTCTGTTAACTCGAATTCCAGATTGTGCTTATCTCGTGTCTTTGCTTTGTTTTTCCAGGATGTTGCTATGAAATCTATGTCAAAGCAGTGATGAAAAACGAAGCAAAGGCTGCAGGGAAAAGCTCATGAGTCTTGTCTTTGTACGGTTTTTTTCTTCTTTTTATACATTCTCTCTCTCTCTCTCTCTTTTTCTTTTTTTAACATTCTCTCAATAATGTTTGTTTACTCAATGCTCAAGGCATCTAATAAAGCAGACAAAAAGAAAAAGACATTGTCGAGGGAAACAAATCACAGGCTTTTTCTGTTTTTTTTTTTTTTTTTGCCGTTTTGTGGAGTTTCTGTTTACCTACCATATTTTCATCTTGCTTGGCTTTCATTTGTTTTTTTTTCCAGTCGTAAAAAAACAGGTGGGTAGGATGGTTAGACTTCTATGCTCTCTATTTTGAACAATCAACGATTTTAACCTCTTTACAATATGAATGATCATACTTTATAACCTACATCTACATAAATTTTATCTCAAAAGGATCTAATATATGTGTAGGCTGGTTAGATGCAGCCTAACTACTATATATTGGGTTTTTCACTGGGCTCAGTTCAAAACGAAGTCTTCTGGTCCATATCGGTGTTGATCGGATCTCAAACCGAAATCTAGATTTGACACCCTTAATCTTCGACTTAATATGACTCAACAAGAACATATCCACCACAAGTTATTCACAAATCACGCAAATTAGATTAACAGGAACATCAATAAAAACAAGAACAGAGAGCTTTCATTGTCTGATTTGATAACATTGGTTCACCAAATATGTATATAAAATGTTAAAATATTAGTTGAACCACCTTGGGGGTACGTATAACAAAAGAAGCCATCAAATTAAGTTACTTTTGCTTGATTTGCACATATTGATGTTTGAAAGCTACAATTCCTATGTTCTATACTATCTACATTTGTAGTCATAGTTGGATATGCTGTCGAAATTTTATCAATTTATATGATATTGATAGATATGCAATGTCGTAAAAGAAAATCTCACCTCTATATTATGGTTTAGACATACTTCTTCCGTTTCACAAAGAGTGTCGTTCTGACATTCTTCACACAAATTAAGAAATAAGATAAAATGTCTCTTATATCCTTAATAATTTGCAGAAAATGACTCTTGAAATTATATTTATAACAATTTTCTGAATTTATTTTTGAGGTTAAAACTGGTATTTTATGTCAAAATTTACATTAGAATTCTAAAACGACATTTTTTTAAAAAAATGTCACAACGACACTCTTTGTAAAACGAATGGAGTATATTACATGCATCAAGTATCATAATTGGATCGGGCAAATAACAATTCCATTAAATACGTCATTTGACTATCTCTTAAAACCTATCACAATTTACAATAACTATTCGCTTTAAATACATCATTTGACTATCACTTAGAAGAATAGTTTTTTTTTTCTGTCGTAGAAAAATTAGTATTTAGAACAAAAAAGGTTTTTACTTTGGGAATATCTTTTAAAAAAAGAAGTATTTAGGAAAACAAGGTGGATCATTGTTATACCACATCATGGTGTTCCCTGGCGTGATTATATAGAAGACACCTGACAAAACGGCATCGTTTCAGGTCATCATCATCTCTATTCTCTCTCACACCTCCCAAAAAACGGTATAAAGATCACACAGAGACACACATACAAACGGTAAAACCACCGAGTCAAAGCTTTCTACTACACCGACCGACCACTTAATTCTCTCAATTTACGCTAAATGCCACTGCCACCTCTTATTCCGCCAGATCCGCCACCGTCTCCGCCGCATCACTGATCCTCAACCGTCGTCGGAGAATCCTCAAAAACGATAGGAAAATGGCTAAAAGCTCGTCGAAGCAAAAGATGTCGGTGTTGCTAACCAAGCTCGGAGATCGAGATACTTTCACAATGGCGGCTCGAGAGCTCGATTTGATGGCTAGACAGATTGATCCTTCCTCCGGGAACCTCCAGTCGTTTATTTCCGTTATACTCTCCGCCGACACCGGCGATAAACCGGCGGTTCGTAAGCATTGTATACACTTACTCGCCGTTTTATCCGTTTCTCTTCCTCCCAACTCTCTCTCTCCATTTCTCTCAAAGATCCTCGCTCGCATCACGAGACGCCTCCGTGATCCGGACTCTTCTATCCGCTCCACCTGCGTCGCGGCTGTGTCGGCGATCGCTTCCCGGACGACGAAGCCTCCGTTTTCATCGGCATTCATGAAGCCGTTGGCGGACACGCTTTTCACAGAGCAGGAGGTTAATGCTCAGATCGGAGCGGCGCTTTGTCTCGCGGCGGCGATTGATGCGGCGGAGGATCCGGATCCGGCTCGATTAGGGCAGGCGCTTCTTCCTAGACTGGAGAAGCTGGTGAAATGCAACGCGTTTAAGGCGAAATCGGCGGGAGTCGTTGTGATCGGAAGTGTGATCGGTGCGGGTGGTGTTTCAGTGAGCTCCGGCGGATTGAAAGGGCTTGTGGATTGCTTAGTTAGCTTCTTGGGTAGTGAAGATTGGTCGGCGAGGAAAGCAGCCGGCGAAGCTTTGGGGAAGTTAGCTACGATGGAGAGAAATGACTTGGGCGAGTTCAAAGCTAAATCCTTGAAGATCTTCGAGAGCAGGAGATACGACAAGGTTTGGTTTTTTGTGATTCTTGGAATGTTTGATCTCAGTGTTTGGGTTTGTTCAAAGATTACAATTTTTGATTGATCGTTTAGGTGAAAGCTGTGAGAGAGGTGATGAATCAGATGATTGAGGCATGGAGACAAGTCCCAGATTTGTCAGAGGAGGTTTCTCCACCAAGATCTAATGCTTCTTCTAAAGGTATCTTCCTTCACCATTAGATCTTTAGCCAAATTAGGAAACTTTTTATCTTGTTTACTACATACTATCTTCGTCAAGATCACTTTGACTTCTTTTTTAGCCTTGTACGGATCGTTGCTGAGATCATGGATGCTTGCTTGATTTTTAGGTATGGGAGCAGATGATGCAAGTGATGGACGATACCCTGCAGGTTCTAGAGTTGCATCAACACTTGCTAAATCAAGAACTCATCTGATCAACAGATCGACTCCACCGGGAAGCTCAATCGCCACCACGGCTAGGAAACGGAGTAACATAAAAAGCAGTGATCAGAAGAAAACAAGTTTAGCACCATCGCATACCAAATCAAACGTAAGGAGAAGATTGGACTGGAAAGCTGGAGGAGCTAGTCTTCTTACTGGTGAGGTTATTGAAGAGGAACATCATCCACATAACGAAAACACAAAAGAAGCAAGTCATTCTAATCACAAGCTAAGTGGTGTTGCCAGTCCAAGCATCCAAGCATCCGGTGCTACTATGGCTACAGGACATCATGTCTTGTCTGAAAACCAGAATAGTAGAAACTGCAAAGGGCTTGAAGATATATCTCTGATACGTAATCAGCTTGTTCAGATTGAACAACAGCAATCAAATCTAATGGACCTCCTTCAGGTTCTATCTTGCATACGTTCGGGTTGCTTTCACTTCTCGTTTCCTGAAACTCATTCTGTGTTTTTTTTTTTCATCAGAGATTTGTTGGAAGCTCACAACATGGAATGCGTGGTTTGGAAACGCGAGTTCACGGCTTAGAACTTGCGCTAGATGAGATATCTTATGACTTGGCTGTTTCAAATGGGAGGATGGGTAACGCCTCAAGCAGAGACAACTGTTGTCTCATTCCTCCTGGAAGTTTCATTAGATCCAAATTCTGGAAGAAACCTCATTCCAAGTATTCAGCAACGATGCTGTCCACTTACAGGAACAGAAATCCACCAACCATTGGGATACAAGACTCTAGGCAGCGGTTTAATGGCGCTGCGGGATTTATTGTCAATCCATTAGCTGAAATAAGTTCAGATAACCAACCTGCAGGTAAATAATTCGTGTTATGTCGATTCGACTGATCAATGTTGTGTGCTGTAGGAGCTATGAAGCAGTTCTTGTGTTTTGTCAATAACATAATTAAGATGTACTTTGATTTTCTTGCAGGTATGCCTCATAATTGAGGGAGGAAGAGGAAAAAAGAAAAACCTTCAAAGATTCTGAGACTTAAAACCATAGTGTGCTTGGGGTGATTCTTACTGATTACTAAGTTATTAAGTTCTCAACCATTTTAGTATTTCACTTTCCTTGAAAATATGCTCACTAAAATCCGTTAGAAGATTAGATTGAGATCAAAGATACGTTTGCTTTCTTGTCAAAGTTTCTGTTATGTGGTAAATGAATTTCAATTTTCATGCAATATATCACAAACGATACATTGGTAAAATCTGTAACCATGGAAGTATTTTTCATTTTTTAGGAGGTCAAATTTATAATAAAAAAAGACTCCTAAACATAAATAATTCTTAAATATTTAGCTGCCTAACTTCTTTGAATTCATGGATGGAATAATTGAAATAGTTGGCAACTGTTTTTCTCTCTACTTTATTTATACTAGTTATTGTGCATAACGTGACTTCATGGGGGAAATCAAATAGTTTATTGTAGTAGGTGTCGAAAGTAAGAAGAAACTTTACAGATTACTGATTCTTAGCTTATTCTATCGTCCATATTTGAGTATGGGCAATTAAATAAGTGATCAGTTCATTTCTTCGACATTTTGAAACGCTGGAATCCCTGGAGAGATTTCCTGAAGTTTTTTGAAAAAAAATGCTTTCGTCATTTAAGCATTGGCTAATTGATCATAGAAACCAAAATACTGTATATTAAGTGTGAATAAAAACAACATACATAAAACTCATGGACGCAAATTCGATATCTTTAGCTTTGTGTTTAAGATTGCTCATTCTCTAGCTGAATAGAAACACATAAGATCTGAATTAGAAAGAAGTATTTAAGAATGAACTTAGCATACAGAGCTAAACATAATGCTCAATCGATGGTGCTATCATGTGACTTTAGAGTAAAGACAAAGAGTGAAGCTAATGGTCACCAAGATGTTAATAAAGATATTTAAACAAGAGTACAGTAATTGAGTGAAAGTGTAAACACGGAAATGTGTAATCACTGTATTGCATAAAGTATGGAAAAAGGAATCAAGTATCTAGAGAAAGCAAAAAAAATATAACATCACATCGACCTAGATTTGCATTTCTAATGGACTGAAACATTCAAGTTGAGTTGTTGCCAATCTGCTTCGCCTTTTATACGTTGGTATCATTTTTGTAACAGATTTGGAACATTTATGATTTTATTTTATCCTATAAAAAATATTAAACTTTGAGGATACTGCGCAAGTCAAACAAGAAAAAATCGATGCTTTTATATATGATCCACTCAAAATCATGCCAATCCTTGAAGGGAAAAGGATCCCTTTTGTTTTTTTCACCCGGTTTGATTAAATATAGAAAGAAGTTTAGTTTTCGCACTGGAGATAAACCGGCCAAACAGTGGAACAACGGTTCATACCAGAAAGAAATAAAATAAAACAAAGATCTTTATGAACAGCTAAACAGCAAAAAAACAACATCAAATCTCTCACCTTTTGAAAAAACCATCAAAAGGGGTCTATGCAAAAATTGACCTTCTTTTATGGCTCTTCTCACTCTTCTTTCTCTTTCTTTCTTTCTTTCTTTTTTTTTCTTTGTTTTCATCGTCTCTATGATACAGGAGCAACCAGATTCAACTCAAGAGGCTTCAATGCTGCCTGAACAAGTTCTTGAACAGTACGGTTACGGCGACAAACATCTGAAAGTTCCTCAACGTGCCCTATCAGAGAATTCACATCAGCTCCATAAGCAACATCGGATAACGCTTGTAAGAACTTGGTAGACTCGGTCTCTGTCACAGCTGTTTGAGGTATCAGGCTAACACTTTCCTTAGCCCAACCCACTGCTTGTAACCCGTATGTTCTGGTCAGAGCTAGCAGCGCGTATGTTACCTAACCAAAACCCACAAACACAAAACAAAAAGAGTCGTTTTTTTTTTCAAGGCCATAAACATCACTCTATATGCAACAACAGATAGATTCCTATAATCACGATTCCTTATATTTACCGTATCTAGCCGCGAACTGGGAAGTGCTCCTGCTAATGATGAAATCAAGATTCTGGTGATCGTAGCTCCCCGGGGAATAATGACACTGTCCCTGATTCGTACGAACTGTTCTTCATTCACAGATTTCTCGAGGTCAAAAATGTCGGATAAAAAGGTCAATATCGAGTGGCAGGCCTCTCTGGAAAAGGTGTTCAAAATATTTAGTTAACATTAATGTCAAAACCCTCAAATAAAATTACTTATGTTGAACAAAATAGAGAGAGAGAGAGAAAGGTAGTCGAACCTGTGCTGCACTGTGATACCAATCATTGCGCAATCTACAAGTGGTGAAAATATAGGAGAAGGAATAAATAGATGTGGGCAATAACGAAGACATCTTGAAGCCAACAGAAAGCAATCATCTGCAATGTCTGGTCTAGCAGTGACTTCCTGTAAGAATAAAATGAATCAGACACCACCGAGAATATGAGAACTGGATGAGAATATATACTACTAAGTGAAATCATCAACCTTGATACTTGTCATAAGACATGTTGTATGTGCAAAGAGTGTTTCAATCAGGTTCTTCAAGTAGTCCGCACAAGATGGGTCTGAACCAAAAATCTGCAAATCCCACAAAGATTAGATTCTCTAAAGCTTTTCTCTACGCATTCCACTGATTGAAAGGAAGATACATTACCTTTATAACTTCGCTGGAGAGATAAAGAAAGCATGGCTGATGATGCTGCTGATAGTGGAATTGAATTTTCGCCAGCATCTCTCCAATTGTATTAATTATGTATCTTCCAGACGTACGTACCTAGAAACATAATTCCAACCAATGCCTTCTCTTATGTTCACAGACATGGAATGTCTAGCAAAAAGAGGAACAAAAACGAGACAGGTAAAACAAAAAATTTCAAAGACGATGGTGTGAAGCTCACAGCATATTTGCACGCTCTGCATAGAGATTCCATTGTCCTCATGTCCCAAGGACGACTGCAGTAATACCATTTTAAAGTAAGAGGCTACATAAAAATCAATTTTGAGAACATAAGTTAGTCATCATGTGTTTAGAAACACTTACGCATCAAATATAACTCTGAAAATAGCCCAATGCTTATTAATCTCAGCAGCCACAGCTTCGGGGTGGTTCACATACCTAAGGTGGTAGCATCTGTTAGTAAGAGACTAAACAAAATGCATGGAGATATATCGTATAATTGAGATATTATACAAACCTGAAGAGGAAGGCAAACCGGTCAATATGAACCGTTAATTCACGGGCATGCTTCTTGTCCAAATCTTCTTTAGCCGCTTCCTGGTTCACATATTAACATTTCTCATCATTATACGTCTGACAATATATCAAACAACCATGCAAAAAGGTGACATGGCGAACCTGTAGAGGAGAGGCGGCTGAAAAGCATAATTTCTCAAGAGCACTCTTGGCCTGATCTAGAGGAAGTTCTGTAACAACCATACTGCATAACAAATTCTTAGAGATATTAATAACACACAAATGAGGAGGTATAGTCCATCATTCGTTTTACTCCATACCCTAAAGCCTCAACGAGATTTAGTGAATCCTCAGCAGATACTTTATAAGAACCGCCGCCATTAATTGCCATACAATAGATTTTAAACAAGTCTTCAAAATACCCGCAGAGATTTTTTCGGCAATCTGCAGTTCAAAATTTTTTATAAATATTTACAAAAGAAAAAAAGGTAATATGCATATCAGTTTCAACACAAACACCTTCCTGTACCTTCCAGTACCTTCCTGTACTATCACTATGGTTTCACACAATATATCATAAAAAGTAATTTGTTGATGGCAATTGACGTAAAATAGACTAGAAAACAGAATTCAGTCCAAGGAAAGTGTACAACAAAATTCCAAATACTTGCCGGTATTGCAATGTACCCTATATGCTAGCAATTCAGTAGAGTCGAAGTCAGATCCGTTAGCGTAGGTTCCAGTCAGACCTTTCGACTAGCTGCCATCTTTGAAGCAGGTCAGTATGCAATTGAATTTTACAGAGGTCAGAACTTCATACTTCCTAAGAGAAAACTAACAACCAGAATTTAGTTTGCAAGTCCAATATGTAACTACTTAGCGTTATTCTGCGAGGAGAAATTAAGAAGAGAAAACATAAAAAGCAGCCGTGGAAGAACGATATTTATAAAAAGAGAGCTGGTTTCATTCGGTTCAAACCTAAATATCTTTGTCATGGTCAGGAAACAACAAAGAAATTAGATAGCCAGTTATTGTAGTATATATACTCGTCATAAGGTCAATGTTATGCTTGGTAAAGAAAGGAAGAGTTGTGAAGTTTTCAAGAGCGAATACAATACCGTCACATATATGTCGAAAAGCCAAAGCTGCAGCTGCTGCACAATCTTCAGATGTCCCCATCCCAGTCATAAGAATTCTAATGATCGACGGCAATATTGAAACACTAGCTGGCGCAGCATTAAGCCATTTTGAATAAGCCCCAACAAGTAAACATGCTGAAATCGAATAGGGAAATAGAAGTCTCGTCATTGAAGAAAATGCTTCAGACTCTTACTATTCAATTAGGAAAAAATTAAGCAAACTTGGAAGGTTTCTTCAGAGCATAAGATAATGGTTTCCACCAAGCAACTTTTCACATTCAACATATACTATCTGAGAAGAAAAAAAAGCCTAATCACCTGTCTGAAGAAGTTGCGCTTGCTGGGGAAGATTTTGAAGCAAGGCCATCACCTGAAAGTTGAATGTATGAAAGAATGAAATCATGCACACTAACAGAGTCAGAGCAGAATCAAAGTAAACATTGTTTCGTAACTTTAAACACAGATTTTATGGGGCAAAAGACATACAACCCTATTGTAGCCTTAGAACTAAATGGGAAGCCCATATTCCACAGACTGAGACAAAAAACAAAAAATGGCAGCATGATAAATAAACATGCACATGGGGGAACTATCCATAATACAGACCTGGGGCATCACTTCAGCTTCAACAACTGAAACATAATTTGATATTGCCCAAATACAGAACAAAATAGCTTCTGCTGGACGCCATTCTTGAAAATCCTTTCCTGTCTGAGCATTGGCCTGAGTAAAAATTTCACAATCGTCAAAGATACTGAATCTTCAAATAGTGTACATAATGTAAAAGTGTTGTGGTGATAATCTGAATCATGTTAACGTATTTTTTTTATCTCTATATAATATCGATTCAATATCTCCCAACGCACATTCTTTATTCGATGATAG